TGTACTCAGCTGGGTCTTGTGCCTACCTTGCCTCACTTGCTCACCCCTTGACCTTGTTTGTACTGTTGCATATATATATACACCTGCTCTTGCTTGTCTAGCCTTATATATATATGTAATCCTGCATGTGAACTGGCCTTGTGGCCTTGAACTTGTGCTCGGAATGTGTGGTGACTTTGTGATCCACCCTGAGCTTGCTTTGCTTTGCTTGACTGGTCTTGTGACCCCTTGTTCTCCCCCACTTTGCCTATGGGGGTGTGTCAGATTTATATGACATAGCTACTGTAGGCTATAGTGGGGTAGCACATATGGGGTACAGTTTTCTAGGGTTTACATTTGTACCCAACTTTCCCTTAGTCAATCTCATTCCTCGTTTCTTCTCACGTCGCTCCTCAACAACATTGGCGCTCCGGGAGACGTCACGAGCATCGTGTTTGGAAACAACGAATCTCTACCGGTGGTTGGAGTTGGGATTACGCGCCTCATCGTCGATAGCGGACCGGTGGACGTCACGAACGTGCTTCACGTCCCGGGGGTGAAGGTGAACCTTCTATCCGTCCCGCGACTGGCGAAGAAGGGCGTGATCGCCACCATCGACGGTGCGAAGATGAACCTCTTTTGGAAGGGGGAGCAATTCGCGCAAGGGGTTCTCAATGGAGATATCTACCAACTCAAGACGTACCCAAGAGTGGCTTCATCGAACGTGGCGCAAGGCTCCAAGGCAACTCTTAAGGCGTGGCATGATCGACTTGCGCACGCCAATTACGACTCGGTCAAGGAGTTGGCCAACAAAGGACTTGCGAAGGGACTTGACGTGATCGCCGGCGACAACGAGAAGGGCGTGTGCGCGGCGTGTGTCGAAGGAAAAATGGCTCGCAAGCCATTTGGTAGCCGAACGTCACCCCTCGCTAAGGACCCGCTTGCGCTTGTTCACATGGACGTGTGTGGACCGATGCGACATGCATCAAAGGGAGGAGCGCGGTTCCTCTTGGTGATGCTCGACGACGCGACGCGGATGTGTTGGACCCGACTCTTGAAGGCTAAGGGAGATGCGGCCAAGGCGATTCAAGAGTGGGCGCTCGATGTTTGCGACGACGACAAGAAGCGGATCAAGTGTATTCGCACCGACGGTGGGGGCGAATTCGTGAACGCGGAGCTTGAGAAATGGATGAAGAGCAAGGGCATAAAGCACGACGTCACGACACCCTACACACCCCAACAAAATGGAGCGGCGGAGCGGCTAAATCGCACGTTGGTGGAAGCCGTTTGTTCACTACTTCAACACTCCAAGCTTGGGAACGAGTGGTGGGGAGAGGCGAGTGCGCTAGCGGCATGGATTCGTAATCGTGTGCCGACAAAGGTGCTACCGGGAATGAATCCGTTCGAAGCATGGACCGGAACGAAGCCGAACCTATCCCGCCTACGCACCTTTGGGTGCCTTTGCTACTACCATATACCGGATCCTCTTCGCCACAAGTTGCAACCGAAAGCTCGTGCGGCGATCTTCTTGGGAGTTGCGCCAAACGAGCGTGCATGGCGAGTGTGGGACTTGGGTGAAAAGCGTGTCGTCACGTCTCGGGACGTGGTCTTCGATGAAGACAAGTTCCCGTCGAAGGAGAAACCCACTCAACAACTCACTTTCATCCTTCCGCCACGAGAGGAGGTTGAAGAGAGTGAGACTCCACCTCAAGTGGAGAAGGAAGCCGATGGAGGGGGAGAGAACAACGAGGAGAGCGTTGATGATGTCGTGGAGGTGTCACCTACCGAGGCGGCAACTACCTCCACACCTTCCTCCCTACCATTGGCCTTGACCCGCGAGCGTCGTGAGGTTCGTCCTCCCTCCAAGTACGCCGACTATGCTACGGTAGCCGTTGGGAAGTTGGATAAGGAGGGGGCGGCATTTTGCTTCGCAACCATGGGTGATGATGAACACATGGATCCTCTCATGGAACTACCCCCTAAAGATCCGTCCCGTGCATGCTACGAGCATGTTGGATTGCACACCTAGTGGGTTGGGTGCAAGGGGGAGTGTTGGAGGTCGCGTGAGTTAGAAGCAAACGGTGGTGGGGCAATTGATATGCCCCCAACCCACCGAATGTGTTTCGGTGCTCACCGCTTGAGAGAGCTGCAGGTTTCACGAAGTGTGTGGGTTGACTTCGGAAGACCCACTCAATTGGTGCCACATGGCAACACAAGAAGGATCGAGACTAAGGAAGAATTCGGTTCGGTGAAATTCGGGTGCCGAATTTCACCCCTTCGAATTGTTACGCGAATGCGTACGCTGCAGGGGCGGACGAGTGTGGCGACAGCGGAGGGGGCGGATGGTTCGGCGGGTGGGGTGATTCTGGGGGATGTGATTCTGGGGGAGGTGATTCCGGGGGAGGTTGGGGGGGAGGGGACTCTGGGGGATGGGGAGGCGGAGGAGATGGAGGCGGTGGCGGAGGCGGAGATGGAGGGGGGGGCGGAGGCGGAGATTAGAGACAGATTGCTCTGCAATTCCCATGTGCGCATGTGTGTGGAGGGGAGGGATGGAGGGGGTGCGCATTCCCTGTGTCACACGGCGTATGTACGCTGCTCTGTGTGTATAAGAAGGGGGAGGGGGGAAAGGGGGGGGGGGGGGAGGGGGGAGAGAACAGGGGGCTGGGGGGGGAGGTTGAGTCCGTGTGTGTGAAGTGGGAGGAGGGGGACGGGGAAGGATGGGGGTGGGGGGTGGGGTGGGGGGGTGGGGTGTGAGTCTATGTGTGTATATGTGGTGAAGTGGGAGGAGGCAGGAAGGACTGAATTGCTGACTATTGAAGGCTGACTGCCGTGTCCCTGGTTGTGTGTGTGTCCGTAGAGTCTTCAGTATTACGTCTGTTTAGCACGATAGAGTGGATAAAGAAGTACTGTAATTATGTAAATGTGCTCTGTTGTTTGTGTGTTGTAAAGCATGAAGTACATACGGGTGAAGTAATTCTGTGTATGTTTCTGTTCGTTGTGTATATGGTGGACCTGTACGCGGTTATAGTATCACGACCACTGGAGGGGGTATGCTGTTGTATTTTCTTGGCGAAAAAACGTTAACTCGCTATCCAGCCAACCAACCCAAACCACCGCCATTTGAATGCGATTGTTCACGCTTGCGTGGGCGTGCGTCAACAGCTTCAGCTGCCCAGTTGAGGTGGGTAGGGCGGGGAATGTGGCTTCCAGCTGGCCTTTTAAAAATCACTTCTCACCACGGGCAGAATGTCATGACTTCTGGGATTTATGCAAACTCTGAAGGGTACAGTATCTTTGACACCATTCCCCCTGATGTCTTGCACATACCGAGGGGTGACGCGGTGGTAATCTGACTGTACTTACGCTTTTGACGGAGGCTGCAAAGTCTTCTTATATTTTCTAGAAAATAAGTTGTTGATTCGTTCCAAATGGCTCCAGTTCCTCTTAGCTCGCACCGTATTGGCCGGATCAGCAAGACTGTTTCCAATGGGTGGTTTTTGACGTGGCAGCTCCCACCATTCGCTGTTCGCGTGTGCTTTCTGCTTCGGTGAATTTTGGAGTTTCTCTTCTCTAAGTGACCAAACGTGTGGGTATGAGTGATCTTGATATTACACGGGCTGACGTGTACCTTGCTCAAATCTCGAACTCTAACCTCGCAAATTTTCAGCAAATGTGGTCAGATACTGTCGAGTCGCCCAATTGGCGCATTTTTCAGGATTTGCGGATGCTGATGTGTTGGTTAGGCAGTGGTTTGATCTTACCCCCACCAACTTGACGCCTTTTCGCAATCCCTATCCACTTCGTCAGTGGCCACGGAGAACCGCTTTCCTTACAGCCACAAACGCACTGCAGTTTGCCAGCTGTTCGCTTGGTCCATTTCGCTCGAGCTACGGATTTGACTTCGTTTGGAGGCGTGGAAATTGCCCAAGAGTTGGAAGGGATGTGTGGGGGGTGGGTGTGAGTGAGGTGAGGCGGGCGAAAAGAGACTTCTACGCCCCTCTGTTCCTTGTTCCTCTATCGCTTTCTCGCTCTCTCGAACCTTGGCAGGTGACTGATGACTCCCTGAGGCACAGCGCATGCGTACCGCATCCTTTCCGTTTAGCGCTGAGCAGCTCTCAGCGCCACGAGTGTAAATCGCGCTGTCACAGCAAATCATCTCAAAGCCACCCATTTATCTTCCTTTAGTTCCACCATCATCCCTCACATCCCTCAGCTCTTGAGACTCAGAGGAACTCTCTAAGAGCCACAAACTGGGCAGCCCTCAAGCTTGGGACTGCCATAACGATCTTGAACCACTTCCTTTCTTCACCCGTCAGCCAGTCACGCAAGCTCGCCTCGCCTTCCCTCACCACCGCCATCTTTCTTGTCGCTTACTTGTAATTTTATCTTCTGTTCTCCTTTCGCGCTGCCGGATTCCTGACAGGAGAATACGACTGGCCGAGAGATGACGAATATTAGTCAATAGAGAGATCTCTCTCGTGAGCACCAGCATCCATTGTCTGTGCTTGCTCCTCTCGTTCACCGGCTTTTCTCAACCTCACCCTGCTAGCACCGGTTTAGCATCACTACTTCTGCGATTCATTATTGCGCTCTGCACTCTGTCAGACAGCAATTCCAGCTTGCCAAATCGAAATCAAGTGATTCGTAACTAGGACGTACTAACGTGACCGAGAAGCGAGAACTGTCTTCGAAACCACTTCCCCCTGCTTCCTCAGTCTATCAGCATCGAATCCCTTGTGCAGCTCACCGTCCCGCCATATCTCACAAGCTTTTGAGAGATTGCATAGGTGCTTTCTGTCGGGATTTTGAAATTCTCGGAACAATCGGTGTGGTGTGCTACGTGTCGCGGTGTCACTCGCTCGTGCTCCAAAGGTCGTGGGCATTTTACGGACGAGATTGCGAAGGTTTATTATCAGCAAATGACCGTTCACCCGGAGTTTATATGAACCGACTCGATTCTTTCGACCTGACTGCTTGAGAAGGAGTCTATTTTTTCAGCAGTCTGCTTTCTTATCAAGAGAATGGAATCGGAGATTTTAATCAACGGTCAGCTCGATCTCGGCGACATGGCGGATTTCATCGCAGGCGACGCCTGCGACTTCGGCGACTGCTTCTCCGACGACGAGTTCGACGTTGACGAATTGGAGCGGCGCATGTGGAAGGATCGCCTGAAGCTGAAGCGAATCAAGGACGGCCAGAAGGCTAAAGACGGCGAGGTAGCAACTCCGGCAGATGACGCGCGAGATGCGGCGGGAGACGCGGCGGCGGATGAGCCGAAGGACGGGGGACCGGAGGACGAGCAGAAGACGCGGCAGCGGCAGTCGCAGCAGGACCAGGCGCGGAGGAAAAAGATGTCGCGCGCTCACGATGGCATACTTAAATACATGCTTAAGATGATGGAGGTGTGTAACGCGCAGGGGTTCGTGTACGGGATTATCCCCGAAAAAGGGAAGCCAGTTGGCGGAAGCTCCGACAATTTGCGCGCGTGGTGGAAGGATAAGGTGCGGTTCGACCGCAACGGCCCCGCGGCGATTGCGCGCTACACCGCGGAGCAGGCCGCCGCTTCTTCCGCCGCCGCTGCCGCCGCCGCGGGGGGAAACGGCAGCGTGTTTCCCGGCGGGATGGTCCCAGGCGCGGGCGGAATCGGCGGGAGCGGAGTTTCCGCGCTCGCGACGCCGCAGACGCTGCAGGAGCTGCAGGATACGACGCTGGGATCGCTGCTCTCCGCGCTGATGCAGCACTGCGACCCGCCGCAGCGGAGATTTCCGCTCGAGAAGGGCGTTCCGCCGCCCTGGTGGCCTTCCGGGGAGGAGCACTGGTGGCCGCAGCTGGGGCTGACACGTGGCACCGGCCCGCCGCCGTACAAGAAACCGCACGATTTGAAGAAGGCGTGGAAGGTGGGCGTGCTGACGTCAGTGATTCGGCATCTGTGTCCTGACGTGGCGCGCATTCGGAAGCTGGTTCGTCAGAGCAAGTGCCTGCAGGATAAGATGACGGCGCGCGAGAGTGCCACGTGGAACGCCGTGCTGGACCAGGAGGAGGCGGAGATTCTCAAAGCGCAAGGGCGGCTCGAAGACGCGGCGAAATTCGATCCGTTTGCTGTCGGATCGCCCGTAAGGGCCCCCGGCGCGGGCGCGTTCGAGCGCGACGGCGGAATTGGCGGAGGGATTGGCGGAGGAATCGGGGGAGGCATCCGCGGAGCGGACTTGTCGGGCGTGGACACGAACGCGCTTCTGGCGGAAATTCTGAGCGGAAAGATGCGCGCCGGCGCAATAGAAGCGGGGGAGGATAAGCGGAGCTTCAAACTATCCGCGGCTGGTAACGGGGCGGACTATGACGAGTACGCGCCTGAAGGACCTGGCCGCTCGGCTGGCCGCGTCAAGACGGAGCAAGAATTTATGAATATCCCCGCTACAGTGTTCTCCGGTACAAGCAGCCTCACCAGCGCTTCTGCCGCCGCCGCCACTGCTGCTGCTGCCGCTTCGCTCACGCAGGGTGCCGGGTCTTTAGCCCCTGAGCACCGGGTTTTTCTCTGCCCGTTCGACCGCTGCCCGAAGCACCAGTGGAGCAACGCCTTTGCTGACCGCAACTCCCGGAACCTCCACCAAGCCTCCTGCCCGTTCCGCCCGAAGCTCTCAGGTTCGGGATCCCCTGCTCCTGCTGGCGCTGCTGGCGTCGCTGGTGCTAATATCGGTGGTGCTTATAGCGGTGGTGGCAACAGCTGCCCCATTCGCAGAAGTGCGAGTGCCTCTTCCTTCCTTCCTTCTGAAAGTCCCGCCGCCGCCGCTGGCGCCGCCGGCGCTGCTGGTGTGGCTGGTTCTGCTGGTGGTTCGGCTGTAGCGGGTGGTGGCGGCAGCAGCAAGCCGTCTGGCAAGGACCCTGCCGCGTTCGCGACCGCGGCTGCTACAGCCGCCGCCATCAAGGCGAGCATGCAGCAGGCCGGCATGCAGCAGCATGGTCAACAAAGTCAATCCAAGTCAAGGCTCTCAAACTCCTCCCGTGCCCCTCCCCCTCCCGCCGCTCCTGCTGCAAAGCCTGCTGCTGCTGCACAGCCAGTATCCCATCCGAATTTCCCTTACAACAACCACCAGCAGCACCAGCAGCAGTACCATCAGCAGCAGCAGCAGCAGCAGCACCATCAGCATCAAGCTCAGCTGTTGAGGCAAGGAAGCTTCCCGGGTGATTCCTTCCACCCGCCTCCTGCCATCGGCCTGCCGACAGGAGCTGCCCCGGGCAGCGGGCAGTATGGAGAAATGTTTCCGGGGATGATGTTTGGGCAGCCTGGCAGCATGATGGGTATGGCAGGAATGGGACCACCATCCATGCATCACCATCACATGGCACATGCGGCACATGCCGCACATGCAGCGCATGCGTCGGCCCATCCGTTTGCCTTCCACATGGCCTCCATGGGCCACCCTTTCCCAGCTTACAACAGCATGGCTGGTGGCATTGCCATTGGTCAGCAGCAACAGCAGCAGCAACAGCAGCAGCAGCAGCAGCAGCAGCAGCAGCAGCAGCAGGGAGAGGAGATGCGACAGCAGCAGCAACAGCAGCATCCGAGTCAGCATCAACAGTTGGAAAAGCGGAGGAGAGAGTTGAACCGGCAGCAACTGCAGCTGCAGAGGCAGCTTCAGGAGCAGCAGCAACACGGGGATGATTTACACAAGCAGTTGCAGGAACACGAGCAGCAGCAGCAGCAACACCACCAGCACCAGCAGCAGCAGATGGCGCGACTGGGAGAAGAAAAAGCCGGGCTGTCAAGCGTTGGTGAAGCAGGAGAGAAAACGGGGAGTGATGGTGGTGGTGGTATTGGAAGCATGACCTCAAGCAACGATGCTTTGAGCAACAACAACCGAGTGAGCAACAACATCAGCAGCAGCCATGCTCTCAGCAACACTGGCCTGAGCAATACCGGTCCTAGCAGCGGCGGCATCAGCAAGAGCAGCAGCACTGGTAACTCTGCTAATAATCAATTCACTCGTCTGTCCGTTCTCCTCCCATCTGCCACGCCTGCTGCTTCTGGTGCTCCCTCCATCTCACCCCGTCTTGCTGCTATCATCGCTCAGCAACAGCAGCAGGAAGAGTTAATCGCAACCGTTGGATCGTGGGCCAAGGGCCAGCTCCAAACCAGGATGAAGCGCCGAGCCTTGTCGGACCTCCAAGCCTTGGTGCCTGGCGAGCGCTCGCTCGGCCGGACCATGACCGAACCTATGGCGGAGGTCCGGGGCGAAGGGAGCGGGGCAGAGGGAAGTGGTGCTGGTGATGCTGGTGCAGGGCATTTCGGTGGGTTTGAGAAGTTGGCAGGAGAGGAGTGTGGGATGGGTGGTGGGGGGGGTGCTGACGAGCTAGGTATGTGGGATGGGGGCATGATGGGGAGTTATGGCGGCAGCAACGGCGGCAGTGGCAGCGGCGGTGGCAGTGGCGGCAGCGGTGGTGGTGCTGCTGCTGGTGCTGGTGGTGTTGATGGTCATGAGAACATGTTCGGGATGGGTGATGCTGCTGCAGCACTGGCAGGAGGGATGGCTGGAGGAATAGCAGGAGGGTTGGGAGGAGGTTTGGGAGGAGGCCTAGCAGGGCTAGGAGGGGGACATGACTCCATGAGGCTGATGGGTCAATTGATGAACGACGATTTGCACTACTTCAGTTGCTGATGGGCTTTGACTGGATGGTAGTGGATAAAGTGCATGATTGTGGTGACCATTAGGAATGCAGGCTGTGCCTAGAGAATGATACCTGTGGATGCACCTCTTGCTGTGCAAGTGATTTTTTAAATAAAAATTGCTATTACTTGAAAACACATCAGGTGGCGGCATGTAAGCACTAACAGTAAGTTTTTTGACAAGACAAAATTGGCGAAGGTGCACCAGACGCCACCAACTGATCGACAAAGGGTCAGCTAATGGCTTCCCTTGCTGGCAGCATTGGCGGGTGCAGCAGCAATCCATATGCCTCTGCCGAGCCCCTTTTTAGAGACTAATATTTCGGTGCAAACGAATGAATGAATATGCTTTATTGATTCAAATCAACACGCGACGATATCTACCGTACCTACCAAAGGTCACCTAGAATGATCATACCAGTTATCTACAGGTCCCCTTGCTGGCAGCGCTGGCACGTGCAGTGAAACCCATACGCCTCTTTGAGATGCCTCTGCCGAGCCTCCCTCCCGAGGCTGCTGTCCAGGTACGTTATTGTGAGGTGCTCTCCTGGAGGCATGGGCATGTGGGGTGGCAGATAGGATCGGAAATGAGCAGCAGGAGCATCAGCAGCAGCAGCAGGGACAGCGGCAGGAGGAACAGAGAACAAGAGGAGCAGTACAGTAAAGTCGTCTTACCGGTATCTCAACATACAATACCAGTATATCGAAACAGTAAAGTCTCACCAGCTTCGATATCCCGCCTGGCTCGGAGCACGGCTGTAGCGTCAGTGGGCCACGAGATGTCCAGATTGGGGTCTGGCAATGGGGGGAGGGTGGATGGGTGTACAGGTTGGCTTGTGAGGAGGTGAGCATGCGAGCACGAGAGCATGTGAGCATAGCTCGGAGCACGGCTGTAGCGTCAGTGGGCCACGAAATGTCCAGATTGGGGTCTGGCAATGGAGGGGGTGGATGGGTGTACTGGTGGATGGGTGTACTGGTGGATGGGTGTACTGGTGGATGGGTGTACTGGTGGATGGGTGTACTGGTGGATGGGTGTACTGGTGGATGGGTGTACTGGTGGATGGGTGTACTGGTGGATGGGTGTACTGGTGGATGGGTGTACTGGTGGATGGATCCATGGGAAAGCATGTGAGCATGAGAGCAACTTGGAGCACGGCTGTAGCGTGAGTGGGCCACAAGATGTCCAGATTGGGGTCTGGGTCATGGATGGTTGGAGGGGTGGATGGTTGGAGGGGCGGATGGTTGGAGCGGTAAGTATGTGAGCAGAGAGGATGGTTGAGGCGCCTCAAGAGTAGACCAGAGCATGCAGCAAGAAACACGCACGCACCGCAGTCATGGCTGAAAATCACACCTTGTGACATTATAGCGAGGTGACTTTTGAGTCGACTCAAAAGTCACCTCTGAAAGCACACACGCACCGCAGTCATGGCTGAAAAAACAAGGAAGCAGATAAACCCCCGTACACACCGCCTCATCCCCCGCCACTGCTGCACTCGCCGCTCGGAAAATATGACTTTTGAGTCGACTCAAAAGGCAGCAGAGCGCACGCACGCACCGCAGTCATGGTTGCAAAAAGAAGGAAGGAGATAAACCCCCGTCCCGACTGCCTCATCCCCCGCCACTGCTGCACTCGCCGCTCGGAAGAGTGCTGCTGAGGAGAGTTGAGGCACCACAAGAGTAGGTTCGCACTCCAAACAGAGAGCACGCACCGCAGTCATGGTTGAAGAAAGAAGCAAGGAGGTAGACCCCGGTGTCTGTGTCTGCATGCTCTGCTTGATGCTTGAGCATCAGAGAGCACTCACCGCAGTCGTGGTTGAAGAAAGAAGCAAGGAGGTAGAACCCGGTCTCTGTGTCTGCGTGCTCTGCTTGATGCTTGAGCACGCAGCATCAATCAGAGAGCACTCACCGCAGTCGTGGTTGAAGAAAGAAGCAAGGAGGTAGACCCCGGTGTCTGTGTCTGCATGCTCTGCTTGATGCTTGAGCACGCAGCATCAATCAGAGAGCACTCACCGCAGTCGTGGTTGAAGAAAGAAGCAAGGAGGTAGAACCCGGTCTCTGTGTCTGCGTGCTCTGCTTGATGCTTGAGCACGCAGCATCAATCAGAGAGCACTCACCGCAGTCGTGGTTGAAGAAAGAAGCAAGGAGGTAGACCCCGGTGTCTGTGTCTGCATGCTCTGCTTGATGCTTGAGCACGCAGCATCAATCAGAGAGCACTCACCGCAGTCGTGGTTGAAGAAAGAAGCGAGGAGGTAGACCCCGGTGTCTGTGTCTGTATGCTCTGCTTGATGCTTGAGCACGCAGCATCAATCAGAGAGCACTCACCGCAGTCGTGGTTGAAGAAAGAAGCAAGGAGGTACACGCCCGTGCCGACCGCCTCGTCCCCCGTCACTGCTGCACTCGCCGCTCGGAAGAGTTCAGCCGAGGAGAGCGAGATGCGCTCTGGAGTGGTTGAATCGAAGAGAGAGTGGTCAGCTGCTGCTGCTGTGGTGACTGAGAGCAGTGGCGCGACGCGGAAGGCGTTGAGATGCAGACGCGCTAGGAGAGAGGCGTACCAGCGAGGGGTGAAGACTGGGGGATGGGGGATACGGCAGGAGAGTAAAGAGAGACACATTGCGAAGAGGAACTGAGTATGTGAGCTGGGAACGAGTGGTATTGTGAGCATGTGAGCGTGTGCGCATGTACGCATGAAAATCATTCTCATATCACACACATGAAAGAGAACGGACTGTGCCCTACCCTACTGCTTGTGCTGCCCTGACTGTTGTGAGAAGAGAGGAGAGCGCGGAGTGCATCTATGCATGCCTTTCGAGGCGTCTCAACAGTCGATACGCACATGAAAGAGAGCGGATTGTGCCCTGCCCTGCTGCCTGTGCTGCCTCTGCTGCCTCTGCTGTGCTGACTGCTGTGAGGAGAGAGGCGAGCGCTGAGTGCATGTATGCATACCCTTTTGAGGCACCTCAGAAGCCGTTACACACATGAAAGGGAGCGGACTGTGCCCTGCCCTGCTGCCTGTGATGCCTGTGATGCCTGTGATGCCTCTGCTGCCTCTGCTGTGCTGACTGCTGTGAGGAGAGAGGCGAGCGCTGAGTGCATGTATGCATGCCCTTTTGAGGCACCTCAGAAGCCGATACGCACATGAAAGGGAGCGGACTGTGCCCTGCCCTGCTGCCTGTGATGCCTGTGTTGCTGTGAGGAGAGAGGAGAGCGCTGAGTGCATGTATGCATGTTCCTGCTGCCACTGGCGCAAGGTGAGGGGTGAGAGTGGGGAGAGGAAAGAGGGGGGAGAGAGGAGAGAGAGAGCGACTGGGGAAAGCAGTAAGATGGTTACAATTGCGAAAGGGTGGGGCATTGCAGCGTAATTAATTTAGTATGGTGAGGTGACGAGCTGGTCAACCACAAAAGGAGATAATTCTATTGTACTACTCGCTTTACACAAGTTTCAAACTGAAAGTGTACTGCCTTGAGTGAAACAGTGCTTGTAGTGAGGACAGAAGCATCACCTATGCTTGTTTGCGAACGGCGTCAACCATACAGCAGCCCCTACCGCCCAGCACCGCACTATCTCAGAAAAAAGACGTCTGCTCTTATCCTAAGGCGAGGCTTACTATAGAGGGGATGGCAGCATTGTCGCCACTCTTTGTGACATGGCACAGGGGTTGGAGCACATTGGCAGAAGCAGTGCCTGCTAGCACCATGCAGACAGCATACTATCTGAGGAACAAGGGGTAAGAATCTCACCACAGCAGGGATGGCAGCTCCTGTATTCTCTGTGACATGGCACAGGGGTTGGAGCACATTGGCAGAAGCAGTGCCTGCTAGCACCATGCAGACAGCATACTATCTGAGGAACAAGGGGTAAGAATCTCACCACAGCAGGGATGGCAGCTCCTGTATTCTCTGTGACATGGCACAGGGGTTGGAGCACATTGGCAGAAGCAGTGCCTGCTAGCACCATGCAGTCAGCATACTATCTGAGGAACAAGGGGTAAGAATCTCACCACAGCAGGGATGGCAGCTCCTGTACTCTCTGTGACATGGCACAAGGGTTGGAGCACATTGGCAGAAGCAGTGCCTGCTAGCACCATGCAGACAGCATACTATCTGAGGAACAAGGGGTAAGAATCTCACCACAGCAGGCATGGCAGCTACTCCGCTCTCTGTGACATGGCACAGCGGTTGGAGCACATTGGCAGACGCAGTGCCTGCTAGCACCATGCAGGCGAGACGCTTTGCCACAAGAGGGAAGCGGAGGGAGTGGACTCTGGTAGGGGGAATGCAGTGAATTCGCGTTACCGGGTGCAGGTCATGCAGATGGGGTGATGGTATGGAAGCACGGGAGGGTGGGTAAGGGGATGGGGTGTGTGTGATAAGTCGATTTTTTAGTCAACTAAAAAATCGACTTATCACACATTCGCGTTATCGGGTGCAGCAGGTCATGCAGATGGGGTGATGGTATGGAAGGACGGGAGGGTGGGTAAGGGGATGGGGTGCAGGGATGGGGGAGAGTGAGAAAGGAACGGGAAGAGCAGCGGCAGGCAGCCTCATGCAAGGCAAGAGATTGAACGACACGGAAAACGGTCTTTGGCGCGTGCGACACCTAGAACGCCAAATTTTTTAAAGTCACCTGCAGCAGTCACCTCACCTGCAGTCACCTCACCTGCAGTCACCTCGCCTGCAGTCACCTCGCCTACTGTCACCTCGCCTGCAGTCACCTCGCCTACTGTCACCTCGCCTGCAGTCACCTCGCCTACTGTCACCTCACGGTCCTCACCTACTGTTACCTCAACTACTGTCACCTCACCTACAGTGTTGATGCAGGTTGGACCAATCAGCTGCACTCTCCACAGCATAGAAGTCATTCTGCCATGGTGGCAAGGGAAGGGGCGGCAAGTGAGACATGCATGAAGCAGGTGAATTCTCAGATTCAATATAGCGCAGCAAAGAACGAATACTCAATCAGCTGCACTCTCCACAGCATAGAAGTCATTCTGCCATGGTGGCAAGGGCGGGTGGCAAGAAAGACATATGTGAATAGTAAAATTAAAAAATCAATGAAATTAAAATAACAAATTGCGTTAAGATATGGACACGAGTGTGCTTCTTTAACTCTCAAAAACACCACAGCGCATTTGTCAATTTGTGGGCACTAGGTGCCTACACCAGGAGACATTGAAGGCGCTCGCTCGCGTGTGCGCATGTGTGTGGTCCACACACTGTGGATACACTTACCCATGCCACGTCAGCACACGTTTTACTGCAGAACAGCCGCTCGTTATAGTCACCTCGCTCATCCCCCCTCCCCCCTCCATCGCTGTGCGTGTGGTGCTCTCGCTTTGCTGCCAGCGGCCCCAGACACAAGTAGCACACCTGGTAAGAGTGTGGTGGGGGTGTGGTGGGAGTGTGGTAGCAAGTGTCAATCTAATGTGGAAATGGAAAGGATGGGCGTGAGAGAGGGAGGATCAGGCGCGAAGCCTCAAAGGTGAGGCGAATATATTAAGAAGTACGCCAAGGGTGGCCCATAAGAAATGTTGCCCACCTTGCTGTGACTTTTGAGAATTCTCAAAAGTCACACCACCTTGCGAAAACGTTCCAATGTTGGGGGTGACCCAGAAAAAACTGTGACGGCCTGTCAAAGCTTGCCCACCTTGCGAACGTGTTCCAATGAGGGGTGTGGCCCTTAAAAGCACAGTGAGAAGTGCTTTCCACACACCTCAAGTAGTACAGGGTGTGGGGTGATGGCCCTGTAAGAACTGCCCCTGTGATGGCCCGTCGAAGCTTGCCCACCTTGCGAACGTGTTCCAGTGTGGGGTGTGACACAACAGGAGTAGTTGCCAGCACCACTTCCCCCTCCGCTATCCGCCTTGTCGCCACCACCGCCCTGCTTCACACACCTTTCATTATAGGATGACTTACGTCACAACACCAACCCACCTTGCCAACGTGTTCCAGTGTGGGGTGTGACACCACAGGGGTAACTGACCCCACAACAACTCAACTCACCCACCTTGCCAACTTGTTCCAATGTGGGGTGTGACACAACAGGAGTGGTTGCCAGCACCACTTCCCCCTCCGCTATCCGCCTCGTCGCCACCACCGCTCTGCCTGCCTCCCCTGCTTCACACACCTGAAAGGGGTGCTCTGAGCAAGGATGGAGGGGAGTGAGTGGAGAGAAGTTTGGGAGTGCAAAGCTGAAGCACCCTCAGATGTTACCTTGCTGTTGCCCTGTTGCTCCTTGTCTCACCACAGCTCTGCACGGCTGAAGCATCTTCTCCTATTCTCCTTCTCACAGCAAGGGGAGGTGTTACCTGAGCACAACAGGGGGAGGTGTTACCTGAGAAAAGCAGGGGTAGGCGCTACCTGAAAAGCACAGCATGGGGAGGTGTTACCTGAGCACAGCAGGGGGAGGTGTTACCTGAGCACAGAAGGTCAAAGTATTGCTGAGGGGTGCGCGGAACCGTCACGTTCCGACCGCTACTGTTCCCCCCACTGCTTCCGCCATCCCCGCTGTGAACAGCCCGCCAATCCGTCCGTGACTTTAACGAGCGATACTCTATCGCGGATAAGTGCTTCTCGCGTGTACGCGATTGCGAGTGACAGAAGCGAGAGTGAGAATTCCGGGCGAGATCGTCACGGATCGGCGAACCCACACCGTACGCCGGCTGCAACGGTGTATCCCCGTTACAAGCCTCCTCTAAGGTTCTCCTATGGAGTGGTAAAAGAATGTCTTGGTAGTTGTTAATCGCCTTGGGAGAACGGAACCAGTCGAGATTAGCAATGCTCCTCGTGAGAGAACTAATCGACTGACGCCGCGCGGTCCCGCGACGGACCGCGAAGGCGACAGTCATGACAACGCAAGCCAAGGCTCAGGCTCCCTAAGGTGACAGTAATATCTGGGATGATCTGACGGGTGAGCACATCTATGCGGGATTGACAATGACATGATGTCGATGGTATGAATCAATTACAAACTTTACAACCAATCATAATTGTGCATCCAGATGCCGTGGATGTCATCATGTCTCATGACATGGCCTGAGACGCCATCATCATGCTTTGTTGACGGGGTTGTCTGCTTGTGTCAGAGCACGGTTTTCAAATTGTCTCACCCGACATTCGGCGGGACGCCGTTTTCATCCCCGTTTTGGCGTCTCGTATGAAACATTTAATTTCAGCATAGAAGGGTGGAAATAACCCGTACTACAACAATGTAGTTTATCATGCTTCTTCTTGTGTAAGTACTGCAGATTGCAGATCCACTCACATATTATTTCAAAAGGCTCTCTGAGTCCTCACCTTCTCCGTCAAAGGCATTTTTTTGCCACACCATTTTGATTCATAGTGGGTGCGTGAGGCCAAAGGAATGTTTGAATTTTACTGAAAGAAATTGTGCATACAACACTGAACATACAAATAAAACAGGCAAAGTCTCCCTGCATCTACTCCAGCTCTGCAATGATTTTATTCCTGCGCTCTCCCTTCTTCTTATTGTCTTTCTTCTCCACGCCCTTGCTCTTCTTCTTGAACCGCTGCCGGTTCTCCTCCTTGCGCTTCTCTGCTGCCACCATCGTGGCCCGCAGCTTGATGGCATTGTGAATGGGCCGCGGCACGTGCCGATGCCTGGGGGTAGGAACATACGGGGTTGGAAAAGAGACGAAAGGGAGCGGTGAGTGGTGGAAGATGGAGATGGAAGCACGGGAGGACATAATTTTCATGGGACAGATGTAGGGTGATTGGTTGCGTTGCACAATGGCACAGACCACAAGGGAATTATCCACCCCATTTCCCACCTTCCCCGTGCCTCCTCTCCCCACCCTTTTCCCTTTCTCCATTTTCCCCATTTCTCTGCCACTTTCCCCCTATTTCCCCTCTCCTATCTCCTGACCCCCCCTCTTTTGCCCCCCTTCCCCCCACGCACTTGTGGATGCGGCGAATCTCAGGCAGGTGTTGGTGCCTCTCCACCAGCGCTGCGTTGTACTCCGCCTTGCGCTTCTCCCTCTTCACCTGCAATGCGGTGCAGCGCACAGGGGAAAAGCGATGGTGGGATGGAGGGAGGGGGAGTGAGAGGGTGTGCTGGTGCCTCTCCACCAGTGATGCGTTGTACTCCCTGCCCTGCGTTTCTCCCACTCCACCTGCCATCCACGCATGAACGGGCAAGGGGCGGTGCACAATCCAGCTCACTTTCACATGCCTATCATGCATATCACATCCATCCAACATGCATGCAGCTATCATGCCTACCTACCACGACCACCACCCATGGCAGCTCACCTGCACACCGAGTTGCTGCGAGGCCTGCGCCTTCCAGAGGCGGATGTTGGCATCGTCACTGCCTGACAGCACGTACGAGCCATCACCGCTGAACCGCACACAGAACACCCTGCAGGGCAGAGAAGGAGAGAGCGAGAGAAACGACAAATCAGCGTGTGGGGAGCGTGTGCTTTTATCTTTGAAGGAAGGCGATACTTTTCTTGCTGGGAAGGAGAGCAGATGCATAAGGAGAACGCGAGCAGGTGCACCATGGGAGAATGGAGAGGGGTGCGTCCGGGCAGGAGAGGTGATGAAAGAGGGAGAGGAGCCATCGGACGGAGCGGAAGGTGGAGCTGGGGGCAACGGTTCTGGGGAAAATGGTTCGAAAGACGCAGAGAGGCGAGCACGGGAACATGCGTCAGGGGGTCACGAATCGCTGGGTCAAGAGCAGCAGGCGGAGCAGGGGGGGCGTGAGGGTTAGGAGGAAGATGCGGGGCAGAGGCCTGAGGGCAGGGGGGTGCGAGTCATGATTGACTGACTGAGGAAGACGATGACATGATTGTGCACTCTTTTGATCCAGGGGAGGCGTACAAGATCCTTCTGCCGCCCATTCTGTACACCCCTCCTGGATCAGAAGAGTGCACAATCATGACCTTGTCTTGCTCCTCCACAGTCAGTCAATCACGACGCGCACTCCCCTGCCCTCAGACCTTTGCCCCGCATCCTCCTCCTGCCTCTCACACCCCCGCTGCTCCGCCTGCTGCTCTTGACCCAGCGAATCGTGACCCCCTGACCCATGTCCCCGTGCTCGCCTCTTAGTGACCCTCGAACCATTTTTCTCAAAACCGTTGCCCTCAGCTCCACCTTCCCCTCCGTCCGATGGCTCCTCTCCCTCTATCATCACCTCTCTTGTCCGGACGCACCCCTTTCCCACCTCTCCATCCTTTCAAAGCAGCAACGCATGGGAACACGTGCTGAGGAAATGGAAGGAAAGCGAAGGCAGGGAGATGCAAGGGGAAGGAATTGTGGAAGGCAAGGGTGATTACCGTTGCATGCGCTTGGTATGGTACACCTCCCGGCTCTTGATGCCGTCATACGGGAATATTCGCACCTGATGGCCGCGCGGGGTGAAGGGGAGGGAGAGGGGAGGGGGCAGGGGCAGCAGGGAAGGGGAGGTGGCAAAAGGTTAGCAGCATGATTAGCAGATGCATGCGCTTCGTGTGGCACACCTCCCGGCTCTTGATGCCGTCGTATGGGAATATTCGCACCTGGTAGCATATACGGGCCGGGGGGAAGGGGAAGGGAGAAAAGAGGAGGCAAATGGAGGCACGTGGGGGTTAGCAACACGACAAGCAGAGACATGCTCTTTGTATGGTATACCTCCCGGCTATTGGTGCCATCATATGGGAGTATTCGCACCCGGTAGCCGGGCGAAATGGGGAGAGGGGAGGGGAGAAGCGGGGGGGACGGGAAATGGAGGTGGCAAAAGCTTAACGCCATCGTCGTATGTGAAGAGACATGTTTTCGGGAGGTCTCAGTGGGAAAGACGGGGAGAGAGTGATGGAAGGAGTAAGGGAAGAAGCGAGGGAGGGAGTGAGGGAGGGAGTGAGGGAGGGAGTGAGGGAGGGATTGAGGGGGGGAGCGAGAGAGGGAGGGAGGGAGTGAGAGAGGGAGGGAGTGGGGGAGGGAGTGAGGGAGGGAGCAAGGGAGAGAGTGAGGGAGGGAGTGAGGGAGGGAGTGAGGGAGGGAGGGAGTGAGGGAGGGAGTGAGGGAGGGAGTGAGGGAGGGGGGATTGGAGGCGAGTCGGTGCACTCACAGTTCTGTCGTACGATCCTGTGACAAACTCCCTCCCTGTTGGCGAATAGTCAATGTCCATGCTGGTGTGCGCGCAGGGGAAGAAGCATGAAGGTGCGGGAAACATGGAGAAAATGGATGGAGAAGGAAGAGGGGGTTGAAGAAGGAGCAGCGAAGGGAGGCGGCTGACTGTCAAGAAGAAATTCAGGCGGGTGGGGACATGGAAGAGCAGGAGGAGTTGTATGAGGCAGTAGCTGATGGTGACATGACAGTAGTACAGCGGAAACAGGGGCCTCTTGCATGAGCGAAGTGATTTGGTCCTTGTGCACGAGGGTGGTGCTGCTGCGGTTACAGCTTTGATGCCACCGCAGCTCTACTCATACTCGCACTCAAGTCACGTACTCGTGTCCCCCCAATCAGCAATTAGCCACTCACACAGCAGATACATGGTCCGTGTGCACGAGGGAGGCGGTGCTGAGGGTACAGCTTTGATGCCTCAACAGCTCGTCTCATCTCACACTCGTGCCCCCAACCCAATACACGCCACTCACACAGAGGATACGTGGTCTTTGTGTACGAGGGAAGCGGTGCTGAGGGTACAGCTTTGATGCTTCGACCCCTCTACTCATACTCGCACTCAAGTCACGCACTCATGCCCCCCCAGTTACCAAACAGCCACTCACACAGCAGATACATGGTCCTTATGCACGAGTGAGGCGGTGCTGAGGTTGCGCATGTCATATGAGTAGCAGCTGCCGTTCTCATTACCCTGTCAGGGGTCGGCCGTGGGATGGGATGGGCCATGGGTTGGACAGTAGCCGTGGGGTGGGCAGCAGAGGATAGGTGAGAATGGGTGTGTGAGGGCATGCAAGGGTGCTGAGGTTGCGCATGTTGTATGAGTAGCAGCTGCCGTTCTCATTACCCTGCCAGGGGTGGGCCGTGGGATGGGCCATGGGTTGGACAGTAGGGGGCAGTAGCATGGGTGGCTAGGCTAGCAGTAAGTGTGAGTTGAGGGTGCTGAGGTTGCACATGTCGTATGAGTGGCAGCTGCTGTTTTCATTCCCCTGCCAGGGGTGGGGTGTGCCGCGGATGAGCAGTGAGGGGCAACGGAACGATTGACAGCAGGGATAAGTGTGTGTGAGTGTGAGGGCGCTGAGGTTCTGCATGTCATATGAGTAGCAGCTGTCGTTCTCATTCCCCTGCCAGGGGTGGGATGGGGTGGACAGTGGGGGGGAGCAGGATAAATGGCTGGCAGTAGGGAACGGATGTGAGGGTGCTGAGGTTGCACATGTCGTATGAGTAGCAGCTGCCGTTCTCATTACCCTGCCGGGGGTGGGGTGTACAGTGGGGTTTAGGGGAAACACTAGCAGTGAATTAGGTGTGCGTGAGAGTATGAGAGTGAGGGTGGCTCAAGGAAAAGACACCCTCAGCGCCATTACCAAGACCCACAACTGCCCATCCCACCCATCCGCCAACAATCATCACCCCCCATCTCAGGACTCACTGCAGTGAAGTTGCGAGGCTTGCGTGACGCGTCTTGCTTTGGGAAGTGTGCACATCATCACCATACACCACCACCGCCCACCATACCCCAACCACTCTCCCAGCACTCACCGCAGTGAAGTTGAGGGGTTCACGTGGGTTCCATGCCAGCGAGTTCGTCTTGGTCTCGCTCGGGGGAGTGCATTTTGTTTTTTTATCTCACCACCACCCACGATAGATCACCACCCCTCACACTCCACCCCCTCTCCCAGCACTCACCGCAGTGAAGTTTAGGGGTTCACGTGGGTTCCATGCCAGCGAGTTCGTCTTGGTCTCGCTCGGGGGAGTGCATTTTGTTTTTTTATCTCACCACCACCCACGATAGATCACCACCCCTCACACTCCACCCCCTCTCCCAGCACTCACCGCAGTGAAGTTTAGGGGTTCACGTGGGTTCCATGCCAGCGAGTTCGTCTTGGTCTAGGGGGTGTGAACAACACATTGCCACATGTTTACGAGTGGAAGGGGAAAACGAGGGGGGAAAGGGAAGGGAGGGAAAGGGAGGGTGGAAAGGTGGACAGGTGGGTTGCGGAGGCCTTACAATATTATTTTGAGACTAATAAAAAAACAAGATTAGTTGGAGACTAATCAAAAAACAAGATTAGTTTGAGACTACTCAAAAAACACCTACCTAGAACACGTCAGCCAGCCGGAATTGATGTTTGACTTGGTAAGTGGGGGATGATTTGGAACATGGATGAAAGCCGGAAGAGAAGAGACATGGCAGGCAGTGGGGCAAGGAGTGGGACATGGTGGGAGAGACGTACAAGCATTGCTTGACCCTAACCCCACCAGACCCTTCAAGACCCCAAAAAAAAAAAAAAAAAAAAAAAAAAAAAAAGACGTACAAGCACCAGCAACAAGTGCCACCACCTGCGTTTCCTCGTTTCACCTCACCTGCATGATCACTTTTCTCAATGGCGTGGACATGCGCAGGTCGTAGAGGCAAATGCTGCGATCACTGGCAGAGCAGATGACACAGGGCAGTCCACAGGGAACAAAGGAGGGAGAAAGAGGGGAACACGGAAACGGGAGGGAACGTAAAGAGAGAGAAACACGGAAACAGTAGAGCAGGAGTAGACATATTGGAAGAAAAAAAATGTAACGCTTTTGAAACAAAATAAGAGGGCAAATATTCATCCAGAAATATGCTCACACGCCACATCCCACTCCTCTCACCTCCCAGTGGTGGCGAACACATCGGGCTCGGCGGGGTTGAAGCGAACAGAGTCGACGGAGTCAGCGCCCCATGTGAACGTGGCTATGGGGTCCGAGCGTGGGGAGGGCAGCCAGCATACACATCATGGACCCTCTTCACACCCATCCTCACCACCACACCGCATCTCCCCTTACCTGCCGGTGGTGGCGAACACATCGGGCTCGGCGGGGTTGAAGCGAACAGAATAGACGGAGTCAGCGCCCCATGTGAACGTGGCTATGGGGTCCGAGCGACTGTGCTCCCACACATCCACCTGCGCTCCTGCTGTCGCAAACACCCGCCCCTTCCATTTATGGTCCACTGCTCTGTGGGCATAGCATGTACAAGGCGAGAGAGGGGAGAGTGGGAGAGAATGGCTATGGGGTCCGAGCGACTGTGCTCCAAAAAGTCCACCTGCGCTCCTGCTGTGGTAAACACACGCCCCTTCCACTTATGGTCCACTGCTCTGTGGCCATAAGGAGGAATGTGCAACAAGCCACTGCTCACCTGAAGATTCACCTGAAGGCTCACCTGAAGGCGTTTTTCCCTTGGAAGGTGGCGACCGCCTCGTGCTCCACGTCCCCCCCTGCCACCCCCAGCTCCTTGATCTCCTGCGCTGGTAGCTGCCACAGGCGCACCCTGTGGCCGGTGATGGGGGAGAAGGATGGGGAGAGGTGGGGAAGATGAGGCGGAAAGGATAGGATAGGGGACGGCTAGCAGAACACGCATCCCCAACTCCTTGATCTGTGGCGCTGGTAACTGCCACAATCGCACCCTGTGGCCGGTGATGGGGGAGAAGGATGGGGAGAGGTGGGGAAGATGAGGTGGAAAGGATAGGATAGGATAGGGGACGGCTGGCAGAACACGCATCCCCAACTCCTTGATCTGTGGCGCTGGTAACTGCCACAATCGCACCCTGTGGCCGGTGATGGGAGGAGAGAGAAGGGGTAGGAAGAAGAGAAAGGGGGGTCGTGGGGAGCAGAATAAACGGTGCCTTTTGAGTCAAATCTGCTTTGCTCCTCGTCCCCCCCTGCCACCCCCAACTCCTTGATCTCCTGCGCTGGTAGCTGCCACAATCGCACCCTGTGGGGGGAGAAAGAGAGGGTGAAAGTGGGAAGATGGAGGGCGAGATGGGGGCCAATGGGGGGAGACAGGATGGGTGATGTGATGGAGCAGCAGATGCACCCCCAGATCCTTGATCTCCGTCGCTGGTAGCTGCAACAGCCGCACTCTGTGGCTGGAAGGGTAATGTGGGGAGAGTGGGGGGAGACAAGGGGGGTTATGGGGAGCAGAAAAGGCAGTGTGTCCACCATGCATTATTCTTCCTCCCATACTACTATCAAGCACATAGTATTTATCTCTCCCTCCCCGTCCAGTCACACTCACGTGCAGTCATCGCCGCATGACAGCATGGTCTCCCCATCTGCTGAGATCGCCACGCCCCTCACTGCCCTGCTGTGCCCCACAAATCGGCACAGCGTGCGCCTGGTGACGGGAGAAAAGGAGAATCACACAGACGCAGATGGAAAGGGAAGATGCTTTGGGTGGAAGGACAATTGACAGAAACGGCTCTGGCAAAGACTAGGAATGACGCAGAATATAGGTGCACTACCACTGCCATATGTTGGTGCATCAGAAAGTCTTAGTGGCGCTACAACTATTATCTTATCTCGTGTGCAGGACACAACTCACTTGTAAGGGACGTCCCATAGGCGCACATCTGAAGAATGAGTGGGTGGGACATGCGGGATGGAAGTACAGAGGTGGGAACAAAGGGATTGGAATTGGGAAGAAGGGGGGAGGTTAATAGAAGCTAACAGCAAGGCGTTTGCGAGGTTTCAGAGAAACAAAATGGGGGGAATTGGAATATAGAATTACAGGGCAGACCTACACCAGGGGAATAGCAAATAGAGTAAAGTCAAAGCAATCATCGCTTCCTCATCAAGGCGCGAGCTTTGGATTTGCGGAATTTACCCAAGCCTTTGTTAGAGACTTGGTTGGAAGAAGTCATGACACTCCAGCCTCCAGGTCCGTGCACAGTGGAGCATTGGAATGTCCATCCATCCATCCATGCGAGCCGTTTCATTGACGCAATTGGGCATGTGGCAGAGGCACCTTCAAGTTTCGATGGCACGCTTCAGCTTCAATCTTCAGATTCGGGTTTCAATTCCCAGGGGTTCAAACGTCAGGGTTTAGGGTTCAGGGTTCAAGGTTCAGGGCCTGGTTGCTGTCACCACACCTCCATCCATGGAGGCGGAAACGACGCAGTTGAGTCTGACGGGGCTTCGCGCCATGGCGGAGACGCCATCCGCGTGGCTACCGAGCGCGCCCATGAACGGGAAGGGCTCACTGTTCAGGGTTCAGGGTTCAGGGTTCATTGTTCAAGGTTGAGATGGTATTTACTGACCTCCATCCATGGAGGCGGAGACGACGCAGTTGAGTCTGACGGGGCTTCTGGCCATGGCGGATACGCCGTCGGCGTGGCTACCGAGCGCGCCCATGAACGGCTTGGCGAACACCTTATCTAGCTTTCAGGGTTCAGGGTTCAGGGTTTTAAGGCTTATTGGTAATTCCGCACCTCCGTCCATTGAAGCGGAAACCACGCAGTTGAGCCTGACAGGGCTCCTGGCCATGGCGGAGACGCCGTCCGCGTGGCTACCGAGCGCGCCCATGAACGGCTTGGCGAACACCTTGTCTAGCTTCACGGCGTTGAGCGCGCGCTGATACTCCTTCGCTTTCTCCAAAGGGTGTAGCGCTGGGTCGAGATTGCGGTGCACTTTCTAGGAGCGGGGAGAGGGGGTGGGGGTGGGTGCATGGTGAGGTAGGAAGGGGGGATTAAGTGGTAGTGGTGAGTCTTGGCGAACACCTTGTCCAGTTTCACGGCGTAGTGCGCGCTGATACTCCTTCGCCTTCTCCAAAGGCTGCAGCGCTGGGTCGAGATTGCGATGCACTTTCTGAGAACGAAAAGTGTGGGATGAGGGAGGGGAGACGGTTAGGCTTGGCGAAGACCTTGTCTACCCACACGGCACTCGGTGCGCGCTGATACTCCTTCGCCTTCTCCAGTGGGTGAAGAGCTGGGTGGAGATTCCGGTGTACCTTCTAAGAACGAGGAAACGAGCGTGAGAAAAGAGAGGAGGTCGTGAAATTCCGCCGAGACTTGTCAGGAATCATGGTGGCGTTCAGTACTCGCAATCCCTCGTCGGCTATTTAGCACGGATGAGCGCGGTTACAGGTGGTGACGCGCGCTTCTGAGACGTCTCAAACCTCGTTGGCAGCCTTCGGCCTTCACGGCAGGACCGAGACGAGGGAACTATTCCGGCAAATTGGTCCGATAAGATACCCGGAACGGGATTCTATCGACAATTGTGGATGTTCTTCTCCGCTTTTTTGGCTCGACTTGTTCATGTCCGTTGCTCCCTGCATGCCTGAGCTTGCTCACTGAAAACATTTAAACGAAACCTCTTGAATGGAGACTCACTGTCACATCTTGCTTCCGCTCGCGCGTGAACTGCTCTTCCGATCGCGAGAGCACTTTAATCTTCATTGTAAGGCCAAATATTAACCAGGGAGGTAGCTACAGGTTAGGAATCAACTAGGATCTCCGCAGAAAAACAGAGTGCATTCGCCGAAATCCGGAAGCCTTACGACAGAATCTTAGCGAAAGACTAATCTCTTATATTCTTTCGCTGACATCTAGGCGCCAAAAATTCCTGCACGTGAAAAAATACCTAGTTTCGCGCCTAGATGTTAGCGACAGTAACGGAGCATACTGTCTGAATGAGGCATTGCTGGGAGGTTTAGGAGTTCCCCAGGTTTCGGGTTTCAATGGGTTCAGTGGAGTACGCGTTTGTGAGCTCGCCCAAGAAGACTCGTATTATAAGTTTAGTGGTCTATAAGTTCTAACTTCATCTAAGGAATAGGGAAAAGATTCGGGTGTTTGCAGTCCAGCTGTTTTGTCAAAAGTTAATTTCAATGGAAACCACAGCATTAATGCGTCAGAGGCTCGGCCTAGAACATTGTGAGCAACATGATGACCCCGTTTGATAATAAAAGCCACTATTAGCGGGACTATATAAGCCACTGTTAGCCTCGGAATAGTTGTGCTGTTCTGGGAAACCTTCAGCCTTGCCTGCTCTTCCACCGGACCCACGGTAAGGATCCGGCTTTCCTCACCTACTTTCCCATCAGGCCCATCACCAGCAGCACCATCAGGCCCATCACACATGACCAGCACATGTTCTGCAATGTCAAAATTCGTTTGCTATCATTTGGAGATAACAGCACGAACGCATCATAATGCCAACTTGTGAGCTCTGCCTAATAGGTGCGAGAGACACCGTTAACCATCATTACCCCATCCGATACTAGCCTACGTCAGTACCTGTCAAACAATCTTGACTCGGAACAAAATGCACCGGCGGTGCAAAGGGAAGTAGAAGCGGCTGTTAGCCTCAGAATCATGGTGCTGTTCTGGAACCCCTGCAGCCTTGTCTGCGGCCTTGTCTGCAGCCTTGTCGCTCTTGCCATCACTGCCCTTGCCACTGCTGCTTCCTCCGTTGGGCTCATTGCTAGGAAGCTTGCTTTCCTTACCAGCAGCAGCACCAGCAGCACCCTTGACACTGACGCTCCCTGTGCCCTTGTCACTCACCCCCTCCACAGCACCACTGGTCGGCTGGTTCAGCCAGTTCCGCTTCTCCTCCGATTCCACGCTCCCCGCGTCTCCCCCCTCGCCAGCACCAGGAGCACTAACACCAGCGCCAGCGCCAGCAGGGGAGGAGTCACCATCCTCTGGTACCACAATAGTCGCTACGAGGGGGAGGGCCGGGCGCCCTGCCTCAGGGATTGCCGCGACTCCAGCGCTCAGCATCATCTCCTGCCACTGCGTCGCCGCGCCCTTCGCGCTCGCGCCTTCCGCCTCCGCCAGGCGCCTGGCGGAAGCCGCCTCCCGCTCAGGCCACTCCAACAGCTTCTTGCGATCAATCCCGTTCTTTGCTCCCTTTGCCGCCGCTGCTGCCTTTGCCGCCGCTGCCGCTGCTGCTGCTGCTGCTGCTGCTGCTGCTGCTGGTGATGGCGGCGAGGCTGACGGCGGGACTGCTCCGTGCATGAAAGATGCCGGGTTTGTTAATAACGAGGATGCCTCGAGCAGTGCCATCTGCGCCTCGGCGCCAGGAACTTCGCGGTTCTCCGACGTGGCTGATCCATCCTCGGTATTATTAAGCTCGATATTGACCCCGAACAGGTTCACTGTAGCTTCGTCGATTTGCACGCTGACGGTAACGCCATCGGGGCTTTTAGCGGCATCCAGCCACGTGTCGTCGTCCCAGTCCGCCACGTCAGCACCGCTATACATCAGCTCTCCGTTCCCGCGCAGCTGAAACAAACTTTCTGGCAGGATCAGCTGGTCCTGAAGAAGCTTCTTCAAAACGTCCGTGCTCTTTCCCTGCCACGTGCTTGTCGCCGTGACTGGCGCCGGCTTTTCCGCTGCCTCGAGCAGACACACGGCACGGGAGTAGTTTCCCTCCACGCGCGAAACATCCACGAAGGCTCCGCCAGCCATGGCGACGATGGGAGACGGTCCGATGGGGATCAGCCTGCCGGCGAAAAACGAATCGGCGGACAGACGGATGACCGGTATCTCGTCCGTCAGGCCGTCAAAGAAGAAGTCGCACATGGCGGGGCGCGCGGGGCATGCGATGGGTAGAGGCGACAGGCGGCCGGCGCGAGAGGGATCGTCCCCGTTGGGGGAAGGATGCGGGCACGGGGAGGCGAGCGAGGGAGGCGCCAAATCAAAATCCAAGTCGCTGTTACCAGAGCAGCCGCCGCCGCCGCCGCTGCCGCCTTTCTCGTGGTCATTGCCGCTGCCGTTGCCGCTTTTCTCGTGGTCATTGCTGTTCTCAACGGAGGTCTCGTGCGTGTCGTCTTTGTCTTTCTTATCTTGGAGTTCGGAGGTGACCGTGTTGGGCGGCGACCGTTGGACGTTCGACGCCGCGCTCTCCTGCTTCGCAACGGCCTGCTTCTGGGTGACCGATAGGTTTTCGCCGCCGATTGCCACGTTAGCGCTGGGGTTCTGCTTGGAAACTGCGGGTGACTTGGCCGACGCTAATCCAATCGCTGTGATCAGCCGGCGAATCGCAGGGCGCCACGTCGTCACCCCGAGCTTCGTGGAACCCGATGTCACGGTGGCCGTCAATTCAAGGGGAAGCGCGGCGCGAATGGCTTGCAAGCCCCGCATGAGGCGGCGGGGGCGGTGGAGTGCGTTTGTCGGGGCTGCGACTATCGTGACAAAGAGGAGAAGCAACGGTAGGTATACCAGTCGGGAAAACGAAGCTCCCCTAGCGTTTTTCTTTCGCAAGCCCATCGTGCTGACCTAGAGGAAGAGACACACAAGTGCCTGAAGGCGGCCTTACTGGAAGCTATCAGTGAAAGCTGGAGCTGTAATTAGCAGCTGGAGACTAGCCAACGGAGTGTTGGCGCTCAAGCGAGGTGAAGACTTACTGGAGTATACTGCTCGGCTTTATTCCTCCAGAATGCACAACGGGTAAGTTGTGTTGGGCACAAACAAGCTGGAAAGCTGCGACTTGCTTTGGACGGTCGTGTGTATTTGGCGAAAACAAAAAATCAGCGCAACGGGCTGAACACGCTGCCAAAAACAGGTGGCATTTTGGAATATAATTCTAGGTTTGGTTGGTTTCGGTAGGGTCAGGCTGGGCCGAGCTTGGTTGGGCTGGGCTAAGTTTAACGCAAGATCGCGCGATTCTGCTAAAACGGAGCAGACAAGAAGTGTCGATTCGAGTCGGGATGTCAAATTGGAATTCAAATTGACCAAGCGCGCGACTCCCCCAACTAACCCAAGGGTGGTGTGGTGTCAGACAGGCGGTGAAATTGCAAAATCGAAGCCAAAACAGTACGAGTCATTTCGATGCCAACGTGTCGTCCGAAGAATGGCGGAACGGCTCCAGCCACTGGTGAAAACATGGGTGGTGTGAGGAATTTCTGCGATCGTTCGGGATAATTTCGCTCGACCCTATTCTCGATAATTTCACACCCCCTACCCTTTTTTTAGTAGGTACCCTTTACGTATTTCGTTCTGATGCGAAGGATACCCAGAGATTGAAGGACTATTTAAAAAAACCGGAAGGAACTCTAGATTCAAACTCGCACTTTGTGTTCCGAGTGTAAGGGTTTTGTTGGGAATAGCTCAAAAACTAAAACCCTATCGGATGGCATGCCATCCGAGGGAGGCCACAACCCTTAACACATGCCTCCCTGTGTTTAGGGTTGATGCCTCCCTGACCGGATGCATGCCCGAATGAGTTTTATTTGTTTTGCCCGCGGGCAGCGAGCTCCCCCTGGGCGGACTCGCTTGTCCGTTGAGCTATATCAAGAGGTTTGGGTTACCTTTGACATTCTGATTGCCCCGCAATTCGCGAGAGTGGGTGGGAAACTCGTCCATATATGTATGAAAGGTCGTCAACTACCCTCCGAAAACGATTGACCGAGGGTATTTACCCCAGGGTGTGAGATTAGGGGGTGTGAAATTATCGAGAATAGGGTGGTAAAAAGATTTGAGTGGAGCCAACTGCGGTGAGCCAACACTAAATTACAGGTTACAACTGAAAGTGCACATGGTATTCACCTAAATGCAAACAACTGAAGCTAGAAAGCAGATTTTCGTAGTGATTTCCATAATAGATTTGAGTGGAGCCATAGCGGCGAGACTCCCCACACTCCTCGAAGAAGCGATGGATCCATTGCATCGAAGTGGTGGCTCTGCAGGTTGTGAAGGAAGAGGTTTGCACCCACCTGCAAAACAACACCAAAATGATCTGTCAATCTCCCTATATAATATATAGATTTAAGAACGAGAGACATTGGTGGTAGAACTTACAGCTGATGGCAAGAGTAGTTGTTGAGCTATAGGAGGCAAGGAAGACTGCAAGGCTTTGGCCTTTTGCAAATGTGCTTGGGCCACACACGCCACATCGTACACACACTCCCTGAAACTGGGCGGCTGCCGCCCACGAAACAGCTCCTCATGCACCAGCCCATGCTGACAGAAATAGTGATGGATGACGAGAAGAGGTAGGAGAAGAGGGTGGGAAACAAAACGGTGGAAGAGAATGAGAGGAAAGGCAGTAGCTTGGGAAGTAGAAAGGGATTCTGACAAGTTGAAGCATTCGTCCATGGTGGCGGTTAAAGCACTGTACCTTTGCAGCGACATCTAGCGGAATGTGCGACTTCCTCTGTGCAGCGTGGTACGATGCCCTTTTTGGGGCAGAAGAGCCATGCCCCCCGCCTTGTCTTAAAAAAACGCACCTTTGCAGCGACATCTAGCGGAATGTGAGATCGCCTCTGTGCTGCGTGGTACGACGCGCCGCGCAGCAGAAGAGCCATGCCCTCCACCTTGCCTGGGAGGAGGGAGTGCGAAGCATCAAGGCGGGCCTCAACAGGAATGAAGAACATCAATGTGGTTACCAGTGTGGTAACCAATGTGGGAGGCAGCATGGTCAGCGTGTGTGCTATGGATGCCTGAAGCATGCAGCCTGCGGAGTACAGGTGCTGTTACTGATGTGGTCACAAATGTGGTTACCAGATGCAGATGCTGATGGTTACCAACGTGGTTACCAATGTGGGACAGCACGATCAGCATGCACGCTGTTGATGCCAGCAGCCTGCAGGGAGAGGTAGAGAAGCGCTGAGGATGTTGACTCTTGAGGCGCCTCAAAACCCACTCACTTAAGAGGCACCTCAAAACTCACTCACTTCTGAGGCACCTCAAAACTCACTCACTTGAGCGGAACCTCAAAGTTCATACCAATGTGGGAGGCAGCATGGTCAGCGTGCACGCTGTGGATGCCAGCAGCCTGCAGGGAGAGGTAGAGCAGCGCTGAAGATGTTGACTCCGCATACCTGCACTTCCATGCATGCATGCAGGTATGCAGGTATGCATGCATGCAGGTATGCATGCATGCAGGTATGCGGGTATGCGGGTATGCAGGTATGCAGGTATGCAGGTATGCAGGTATGCATGCATGCAGGTATGCAGGTATGCGGGTATGCAGGTATGCAGGTATGCAGGTATGCAGGTATGCAGGTATGCAGGCATGCAGGTATGCAGGTATGCAGGTATGCAGGTATGCATGTATGCAGGTATGCATGCATGCATGTATGCAGGTATGCAGGTATGCAGGTATGCAGGTATGCAGGTATGCAGGTATGCAGGCATGCAGGTATGCAGGCATGCAGGTATGCAGGTATGCATGCATGCAGGTATGCATGCATGCAGGTATGCGGGTATGCGGGTATGCAGGTATGCAGGTATGCAGGCATGCAGGTATGCAGGCATGCAGGTATGCAGGTATGCAGGTATGCATGTATGCAGGTATGCATGCATGCATGTATGCAGGTATGCAGGTATGCGGGTATGCAGGTATGCAGGTATGCAGGTATGCAGGTATGCATGCATGCATGTATGCAGGTATGCAGGTATGCAGGTATGCGGGTATGCAGGTATGCAGGTATGCAGGTATGCAGGTATGCAGGTATGCAGGTATGCAGGTATGCATGTATGCAGGTATGCATGCATGCATGTATGCAGGTATGCAGGTATGCAGGTATGCGGGTATGCAGGTATGCAGGTATGCAGGTATGCAGGTATGCAGGTATGCAGGTATGCAGGTATGCAGGTATGCATGCATGCAGGTATGCAGGTATGCGGGTATGCAGGTATGCAGGTATGCATGCATGCAGGTATGCAGGTATGCGGGTATGCAGGTATGCAGGTATGCATGCATGCAGGTATGCGGGTATGCAGGTATGCAGGTATGCAGGTATGCATGCATGCAGGTATGCAGGTATGCAGGTATGCATGCATGCAGGTATGCAGGTATGCAGGTATGCAGGTATGCATGCATGCAGGTATGCAGGTATGCGGGTATGCAGGTATGCATGTATGCAGGTATGCGGGTATGCAGGTATGCATGCATGCAGGTATGCATGTATGCGGGTATGCGGGTATGCAGGTATGCATGTATGCATGTATGCAGGTATGCATGTATGCAGGTATGCATGTATGCAGGTATGCAGGTATGCGGGTATGCAGGTATGCAGGTATGCAGGTATGCGGGTATGCAGGTATGCAGGTATGCAGGTATGCATGTATGCAGGTATGCATGTATGCAGGTATGCATGTATGCAGGTATGCAGGTATGCAGGTATGCGGGTATGCAGGTATGCATGCATGCAGGTATGCAGGTATGCATGTATGCAGGTATGCATGTATGCAGGTATGCATGTATGCAGGTATGCAGGTATGCAGGTATGCGGGTATGCAGGTATGCATGCATGCAGGTATGCAGGTATGCAGGTATGCAGGTATGCATGTATGCAGGTATGCATGTATGCAGGTATGCAGGTATGCAGGTATGCGGGTATGCAGGTATGCATGCATGCAGGTATGCAGGTATGCATGTATGCAGGTATGCATGTATGCAGGTATGCATGTATGCAGGTATGCAGGTATGCAGGTATGCGGGTATGCAGGTATGCATGCATGCAGGTATGCAGGTATGCAGGTATGCAGGTATGCATGTATGCAGGTATGCATGTATGCAGGTATGCATGTATGCAGGTATGCAGGTATGCAGGTATGCGGGTATGCAGGTATGGATGCATGCAGGTATGCAGGTATGCAGGTATGCATGTATGCAGGTATGCATGTATGCAGGTATGCAGGTATGCAGGTATGCGGGTATGCAGGTATGCATGCATGCATGTATGCAGGTATGCGGGTATGCGGGTATGCAGGTATGCATGCATGCAGGTATGCAGGTATGCGGGTATGCAGGTATGCATGTATGCAGGTATGCAGGTATGCAGGTATGCGGGTATGCAGGTATGCAGGTATGCATGTATGCAGGTATGCAGGTATGCAGGTATGCGGGTATGCAGGTATGCAGGTATGCAGGTATGCATGTATGCAGGTATGCATGCATGCAGGTATGCAGGTATGCAGGTATGCATGTATGCAGGTATGCAGGTATGCAGGTATGCGGGTATGCACGCATGATATGCGCACACACAACATGTTGTGTGAGCCATGGAGAAGAGAAGGATGATCAAACGGATTAGAACTGCGCTTTGAGCAGTTGTCAACGAATAGTGATGTGTGCAGGTACTGCGTTGAATGCATTCTAAGCGGAGGGTGGAATGATCAGGCGGGCAGGGGAGAAGGGAGTGGTGAATGGCTCTCCCACCCCACCCTTCTCCCTCCCACCACACCCTTCTCCCCTGCACCACACCCTTCTCCCCTGCACCACACCCTTCTCCCCTGCACCACACCCTTCTCCCCTGCACCACACCCTTCTCCCCTGCACCACACCCTTCTCCCCTGCACCACACCCTTCTCCCCTGCACCACACCCTTCTCCCCTGCACCATACCCTTCTCCCCTGCACCACACCCTTCTCCCCTGCACCACACCCTTCTCCCCTGCAACACACCCTTCTCCCCTGCGCCACACCCTTCTCCCCTGCACCACACCCTTCACCACACCCTTCTCCCTACCACAACACCCTTCTCCCCTGCACAACACCCTTCTCCCCTGCACAACACCCTTCTCCCCTGCACAACACCCTTCTCCCCTGCACAACACCCTTCACCACACCCTTCACTACACCCTTCACCACACCCTTCACCACACCCTTCACTACACCCTTCACTACACCCTTCACCACACCCTTCTCCACACCCTTCACCACACCCTTCACCACACCCTTCACCACACCCTTCACCACACCCTTCACCACACCCTTCACCACACCCTTCACTACACCCTTCACTACACCCTTCACTACACCCTTCACCAAACCCTTCACCACACCCTTCACCACACCCTTCACCACACCCTTCTCCACACCCTTCTCCACACCCTTCACTACACCCTTCTCCATGGCTCTCCCACCACACCACACCCAACACGACATTGTGGCACTCACTGTCCCACATTGATCTGCGAGTCAACAAAGACAAGGTAACGCTCGATCAATGTGGAACAGTGAGTGCCACATTGTGTTCTACGCCGATTCCTGAGTCAGCTAACACAATGTGGTGGCACTCACTGTTCCACATCGGCGATCGTGTTGGGTGGGAAGGCCGCCCGCTCCAAGTCCTCCATCTGATGCAATGGGATGGGTAATGATGGGTAATGATGGGTAATGATGGTCAATGGTGGTCAATGGGGTGGTCAATGATGGTCAATGGTGGTCAGTGCAGGCACAAGGAGGGACACCGATGAGAAGCATCGGAGAAATCGTTGAAACAACAATGTCCATTCACAGGGAGAGGATAGCAGGAGACGGAGAAAGAGAGACAGGTGGGAGCCAGGTGCGTGCCAGGACGTTTTACCAAGCAAGGGATGCACACACACACACCCACGCACCCTCCCCTCCCCTCTCCACACCCAACCTCCCAGCTTCCCACTGCCCACCCAACCGAGCAGCAATGACGCGCAGCAGCCAGGGTTTACTGATGCCTGTTGCCTCCCGTGCTGCCGTTGAAATTCGTTGGATTCGAAACGCAGCAAGCCTGCTAAGAGTAACAATCTATAGCACTTAGTCTACTAACCTGAAAGTCGAGGGAAGTAGTGAGAAAAGGTCTACTAATAAAAAAGCCAGACACATTAGGCCTGGATGTCGCGTGTGGACGCGTTTCGGCCACCAAAGGCCTTCATCGGCACAATGACGCGCAGCAGCCAGGGTTTACTGATGCCTGTTGCCTCCCGTGCTGCCACAACCCGGCAGCAAATGCAATCCACAACAAACATCTTAAGCCTTGAACTCTCACCCAAACCCCTCCGCACCCACCCGGGCAGCAATGACTCGCATCAGCCACGGCTTGGTGATGCCCGTCGCCTCCTTCACTGCCCCCAGCGCCACCAGCACTGGGTGGTCGTCGGGCGGCTGGCCCTGTGTGTGTGAACGTGGGCATGTGGGGGTGCACGTGGGCATGTGGGGGTGCACGTGGGCATGTGGGGGTGCACGTGAGAATTGGGGCTTGGGGTTGAGAAGGGAAGGAACTGCGTTCATTGGGTGGGACGCGCCTCACTCACTGCCCCCAGCGCCAGCAGCACTGGGTGGTCCTCCGGGGCTGGCCCTGTGTGCGCATGGGCATGTGGGGGTGCACGTGAGAATTGGGGCTAGGGTTGGAAAGCGCTCACTGCCCCTAGCGCCACCAGCACTGGGTGGTCCTCCGTGGATGGCCCTGTGTGCGTGCACATGCGCAGGGAGCAAGGAGGGGCAAGGGGATCAATCGAGTCAATCTATTGCACCACCGAATACCAGGCGAACAGAACAGCAACATGGAAAAGGGGGAGTGCGGAGGGGGTTGATCTCAGAAGAAGCGTGGGTAATACCTGGAAGAGGCGTGGGAGCGCGTATATCCACCAGGAGAAAAGGGGAAGGAGAGGAAGAGGGAGGAAGAAGGGAAGGTAGAGGGGTCGTACCTGGAAGAGGCGGGTGAGGGCGTGTGTCCACCATGCGAGAAGCGAGGGGGGAAAGGAGGGGGAAGGAGGGGAAAGGAGGGGGAAGGAGGGGGGAGGAGGGGGAAGGAGGGGGAAGGAGGGGAAAGGAGGGGGAAGGAGGGGAAAGATCAGGGGCGAGTTATACCTGGAAGAGGCGGGTGAGGGCGTCCCTCCACCAGGCTAGGCGAATGATCGCAAGGCGTTGCTCCCGCGCCCTGTCAGGGATCTGTGGTGTTGAGAGGAAGGGGGTTGTAAAGAGTCGAGAGAAAGAAACATTCAGTCAGTTGAGAAGACTTGTTGCTAGCCCTAGCCACAGAGCGCTGCTCCCGAGCCCTGTCGGGGATTTGCAGAGTTGTGAGGAGGGAGAGGAGCAGTGGAGCACAAAGGAGTTGAGAAGAATATTGAGATGAGAACGCATGTGTACCTGCGACTGATACCTTTTGAGGCGCCTCAAAAGTCGCATGTGTATCTGCGACTGATACCCCATGGCACTGTCAGGGAGGACGGCGATGGGCGCAGCAGGGATTAGGGCAATCGGACAATGGGGCAATGAGGCTACAGAGGAGGCGCGTACCAGGGAGGTTTCAACATTGAATGCTCTGAGAGCGAATTGGGCGGGCCTGTGCTGTGCCGGCATGTACAGCGCTCCAATGTAATGCTCCGAGTCATGCTTCCTGCCAATTTACCCGTGGCGATGTTGGATGGTGAAATGTGCAACACATGGTGTGGAAATATGGTATTGAGTGGACCCTGTGGTGTGCCGGTGGCATGTAGAGAGTTCCAATGTAATGCTCCGAGTCATGCTTCCTGCCACGTTGCCAGTGGTGATGGGTGTGGTGATGGGTGGAGAAATGAAACAGCACATGGTGGGGTGTGTTATAGAACTGGCTGTACGGGCCTGTGGTGTGCCGGCATGTACAACGCTCCAATGTGATGCTCCGAGTCATGCTTCCTGCCACGTTGCCAGTGGTGAGGTGATGGGTGGTGAAATGAACAGCACATGGTCGGTCGGCTGATATGGATTGAATGTGCGATGGTGTAGTGCAATCCTGTTTGAGGCGCCTCAATAATAGACACGTTGCCAGGGGTGATGGGTGTGGTGATGGGTGTGGTGATGGGTGTAGTGATGGGTGTAGTGATGGGTGTGGTGAAATGAACGGCACATGGTCGGTCGGCTGATATGAATTGGATGTGCGATGCTGTAGTGCAATCCTTCCTCATGCGATCTTTCATGCCATGGTGTATTGGGGAGCGTTGGGCATGCAATAACGTGTCATGCATCAGCATGCATGGATGAGAATGCACCATGGATGAGCATGAACCATGGATGAGCATGAACCATGGATGAGCATGAACCATGGATGAGCATGAACCATGGATGAGCATGCACCATGGATGAGCAGACATTATGGATGAGAATGTGTGGCATGCCTCATGCCCCATGGCTCATGCCCCATGCCCCATGCCCCATGCCTCATGCCTCATGCCCCATGCCCCATGCCTCATGCCCCATGCCCCATGCCTCATGCCCCATGCCGTGCCTCATGCCTCATGCCTCATGCCTCATGCCCCATGCCCCATGCCTCATGCCCCATGCCTCATGCCTCATGCCTCATGCCCCATGCCTCATGCCCCATGCCCCATGCCTCATGCCCCATGCCTCATGCCCCATGCCCCATGCCTGATGCCTCATGCCCCATGCATTCAACAATTATCATCCACACCTCACCATGCAGCATCTACGCACCTGACTTGGTCCACGCAGTACTTGAACGCCTCACGCAACTTCGCGGAACTTGCCTTGCCAGCCATTCTCCACCCGTCGCCCCCCTCCCAGCTCTCCCCACGTCCGCGTCCAATCCTCCGCGACTTGCGTAGCGTCCCCTATCCTGTTTCAAAGCGTCCTATCCCCTCTGTCCTGTTCCAGGCGCTCTCTTCCAGGCGCTTCCGAATGTGCCGTCTGATTCTCTTGCCGCTAGGAGTTGTAGCACTTCGTTCAGCCTCTCATTAGATGATTTGATTTAAAACGTCACGTTTCGCCCTCTGACAACCAGAACTTGCATCTCAGTTTCTACTTTTCACGTTTCAAGCCTCGCGCATCCAGAATCTCGGGTGTCCCGTGGCATAAGTTTTGTACCGCACAACGAAGCTGATCTCAAATCGCGCGATTCAGACTTCAACCACGAAGCGCCAGGCGTACAGGAAAATCCTTGGCGCCCGCGATCCGTAAGCGTGCATCGCAGAGCCTACACGAAATAACCAGCAGATGAGTCCCCAGCGCATGAGAAGCGCAAATGATCAGGCAAGTAACTGATTCTAAAAAAACACGAATGAGAGGGGAGGAACTCGGTAGACGAATGAGAAGTGCACACATCCTTTCATTGAACAGCTAGCATATCCTATTGGCTGCGAACTGAAAGACGAACCGAGCGAAGATGATAGCCAAGCACATTCACGAACCACACTGGATTTCTTGCCCTTCGGAACGTACGCGCCATAGAGTATTAACGCCACATATATGTCACGGGTTCTTTGCCCGACTGCAATTTTGTCTTCATGGCAAGGATTCTAGTACAGCAAATGCTTTTTAAAACATAGGCATTCCAGCAGTCATTTCTTCCAACCTAGATACGGTAGTCTGCTGTTTATTTTAAGCCAATGATAACGATGCTGATGTTGTCCTCTCCTTTTCGATCCTGAAAAAGGGCACCAAGCAAAGGGTTAGAATATCAACACAAGTGGCTGTGCAATTGGAGTGCAATGGAAGATGAGAGAGGTCAAAGTACCTGAAGGGCGAAACTGGCTAAGTTGTCTGCTGCTTGTTGAATGTCACCGTGGCTTTCCATCTCCTTCCGAACAAACGCCACGGCTTCCGAGCTGTAGCAAGAAATGCAATCATACCACGTGAAAAGAATATCATGAGAAACGACCCCAAGATGTCACCACAAAAGGCGAGGGATGGGGGACGATACATCAAGACGCTGGCACAGCAGGAAGACGTGGAGATGAGATGAGAGGTAAAGGGAGACTGCAGTGACGGAACAGGAACGGACAAAAGACATACCAGAGGGTCACAAGAAAGGGTTACACGAGAGCAGGGGCCCAGCAGAGGGCCAAATCAGAGGGAAGAATCAGAGGGCACACCAGAGGGTCACCTCACCAGAGAGAGGCTTACCTTTTGACGCCCTCCCAGAGCCCGTCAGACGCAATGATGACAAACTCGGCATCGTCCGCCAGCTCAGCAGCGTACACGTCCGGCACCGCTGAGATCCAATCGCTCTGAAACGAGCGCCTGAGAGGGGATGAGGAGAGGAGCGAGGAGAGGGTGCAACGGTGGAGGAAGATGACTTTTGAGTCGACTTAGAAGCCAGCTCAGCACTATACACATCTGGCACTGCTGAGATCCAGTAACTCTGTAACGAGCGCCTGAGAGGGGAGGGGATGGCGAGGAGAGGTTGCAATGGTGGAGGGAGATGACTTTTGAGTGGACTCAACAGCCTGCTCAGAAGCCCGGCATTGCTGAGATCCAGTCGCTCTGAAACGAGCGCCTGACGAGGGCATGGCGAGGAGAGTGCAATGGTGGAGGGATCGGATCGGAGCAAGGAGTGAGCAACGAGACAGCTAAGGTTGGGACACTCGGAATGAGGCGGAGAGGGTGCCATGGTTAAGAGATCACCTACAGTGAGCATCTGGGTATGAGGAAGTGAGTATTGAGACAGAAGGGCTGGCACAATGAAACAGATACTTGGCACGACTGGTAGCGAGAGAAATTCATGCGAATGAGAGAACGAGGCACTTACTTGGAGACGAAGCGGGTTGTCCATCGCCCCTTCTTCACACCCTCTGACATCATCCTGTAGCGCAGATAGTGCCGGGACAGATGGATATGTGGGTTTTGATATCGTAGATTATTGAGAACCAGTCTGATGGTTTCCAGTCATTGGCACCATGCATAGGAATAGATTGGAGCGTGTGGTGATGGATAGAGCTTTGAAACAAAGTGCTGATCGACAGCATCGTCAGGGCCTCAGAGATATGGAAAAGCATGCTGAGACTGTGCTTGAAGGACACGTGCTTACTGTTCACGGCGTGTCTTGAAGTTGGCGTTGCCAAAGGCTCGCGACACTGCTATGACTCCACACACTCGGCCTTGACTCACCTGTGATAAAAACAATCACAAACGCAGCCGCTCATTTGCGCATAAGAAGCAGAACAGATTGATTCTTAACACAAAAACAGGAAAACACGTGCCACCCACGTAGACCCGCTTGACGTGAGATGAAGTTTGCTTTTGAGTCAACTCAAAAGTCAGATTGATTCTAATGCAAACACGTGGCACCCACATAGACCCGTTTGACCTGAGATGAAGTTCGCGTCACAAGCCTTGCCTTCATGTCCCATCACATGCCTTCACACTTCCCATGACATGCCTTCACTTCCAATCACCAAGTTGCCCCCATTTCTCCACATTCTCAGAGGCCCTCTTCTCGCCCACAGCCACCCATCAACAGCACTCACTCACCCATCCGCCCGCCTTCTCAATCCTCTTGATCTCTGCCTTGGCAATCGGTGACTCCCCATGAGGCTTGTGGTCCTGAGATAGATCCTCCGTGTCGCCACCCACTCCAAGCACCTGGCATATGACGGGATGAGGATGGAGGGTCGTTTGAGGGAGGGTTAAGATGACATGGGACGAGAACAAGGTAAAGAGGCGAGGGGGGTAAGAGGGACAGGACAATCCGCATGCAACGGTGGGTGCCTGCCCCCTAGATAACTCCTCGGTGCCACCCTCCACTTCCTAGTCAGCAGCACCCAACATCAAACGCAAGGACGCTAAAAAATGTTCTGTGCAGACTCTGATTCTTCTGCTGAGAGATCGACATGTGCCTTACATTGCCGAAAGTCCTAACCCCATCACTTCCAGTCTAATAGGCTCAAGTCAAGAGCCAGCACCAGCGCCAGACTCAGAGCGCGGGAGTCCCCAAGGTGAGCAATAATAAACAGCCTGTCCTTGCGCACAACGCCAGCGTGCCTCCATATTGGCACACACCCCCTTTCCTGCAGACAGCTGCATTGCTGTAGCTTGTAGGCACTCACAGCGCGGGAGTCCCCAAGGTGAGCGATGAAGAGCCGGTCCTTGCGCACAAACGCCACCGTGCCTCCATATTGGCCCACACCCCCTGCGCCTTTGATAGCCCAATATGGAGGCGCGGTGGTGTTTGTGCCCCCTGCATTGTACGAGGCACTCACATCGCGGGAGTCCCCAAGGTGAGCGATGAAGAGCCGGTCCTTGCGCACAAACGCCAACATGCTTCTCAACACGTGCCTTACACGCCCTGGAGTCCCTGTCTAGCAGTCAGACTGGAAAGCCAGCACAGTCAGAACACTCACAGCGCGGGAGTCCCCAAGGTGAGCGATGAAGAGTCGGTCCTTGCGCACAAACGCCACTGTGCCTGTCGACCCTGACTCCGGCTCCTCACTGTGATCCGCCAGCCTGATTATGTTCAAGGGCGGAATGGGAAAAGGGGGAAAGGGTGTGCAGTGCATGATGTTTGAGGCGCCTCTTAAGCGCATGTCGACCCTAACTCTGGCTCCCCCCTGTGCTCTGCGAGCCTGATGGTGAACAGGGGGAGGAACGGGGTAACAAAGAAGCAGCTGCACGCGTTGCGTGATATTTGAGGCGCCTCGAATCTAAAGTGCCTGCGGATTCGAACTCCAGCTCCTCGCTGTGCTCCCCTAACCTGATTGGGAACAGCACATGCCCGCGAAGGGGTGCATATGTGAGTGTGAGGCGGAAGGGGGAAGGGATGTGGTGGAGACGGAGGAGCATAGGTTCAATTCAGCTGACCCAGCGTGGCGGGCGTAGGTGCATGGGAACGTGGGTTCATGCAGGATACAGGTGATGATGCGTGCATGCCTGCATGTGACGACACACGAATGGCTGGTAGTGGTGGAGACCGCATGGATAATCATGAGTATATACGTTCGCCCCAACATAACATCTATGTTTTTTTCTAATGTTTTTATATATGAAACCACTTTGAACCGTCAAAGGCATGTCAGAATCGCGTGCTGGATGACCTTGTTTGGCTTCTAAAAGATCCGTGACTGGATGCCCCTAGCAGACAGGAAAACGACCTGTGAGACCTTTCCTTGTCCTCGTATCATCATTCCTAAGTAAAATCTGTAAGAACATGTTGTTTTGCTAAAAAACGTAGTACTCACCACTGCAGCAGCCTCTGGTCCGCCTGAATGAACGCGTCTTGAAGCGCGTCCTCCACGGCATCGAGGTCCTCGTCCGACAGTAACGCGCCTCCTTCTAACGCGTCCATGCAGTCGATGTACAGCTCGTCCCTGCCATCACCCATCGCCCATTACCCAGGAGATTCAACACACATTGGAATGTGCATTCTCACACGGAGTCCCAGAGATTGGTTGTTAAGCCACGATAAAGGAACTGACATTCGGAGGCCCTCTTTCGAGAAATCAGTCAACGATTGGAGGGATGCAAAGACAGTGAAAAGGCACTGGAAATAAATCAAACCATTCGTACTTCAAGAAGCGAGCGGAAGCGCTTCCCGCGTGGCCGTCAAAGATGCCGGCGTAGAGAAACCCGCCGGGGATGTCTCTGACCACGACCAGGTGATCTTCCATGCTGTCGCGCAGGCCTTGCGCCGTGTGGTAACCAACCTTGAGACCTCCGTGATCCCCTTGCGAAACCTCCGCTGATGCGATGGACGAAGAGCTTTCCGTCGCCATCGCGCGAACTCCGGTAACCTGCTTTCGCGAGACCGCGCATGTTTTGGTGTTTGGTGTATTGCAGCGGAGCGGCAGACTGTCGGATAGCAGGGATGAATTCAAATGTAGTCGCGTCGTCTTGGTAATGGCGGAAGACGCAATGGAGTTACGAGAAGGCGTCGAAGCGACGACTGCTTTGCCAGAAGCAACAACATGGCTGATCGTCGTCGCCATGAGATGAAGCAAGTGCAATAAAATAGGCCTCAAGGGTAGGATGTAGACTGCGAAAAAAATAGGTGACAACACAATTCCACCTGTCAGGAATTCCCAACTGCTTTGCTGCACACAACACAAGCAGCTGAACTCGTTTCAATCCAGACAACAGATGGATGATGATGATCAGGCGGGGAGATGAGTGGAGCCAAGTAGATTTGAGCGGAATGGGGAGATGGGCAAAACCAGGAAGGACGTCCCGAGGATAACACGCTGAAATTGGCAGGACCAAGGCGAGGAGATTGTGGCTTCCTCACAACACTGGCACTTAGGGAGGAATTAGTGAATGCAGCTGATTTTTGCTGGTTCTTTGGGATAAGTGTCGCCTTCTTTGAACCGACCAAAGTTCACACTTTGTTCAGCACAGCTGTTGTTTCTGTGGGCCACATCTTCCGCCAGCTTGGCAGGGTGTGGGGGACACTTTCCCGCGAAGGTACAGCCGAGAAACGAGCGAACAGTTCAGCCTACCAAATCCTCTAGTGACCTGGATTTCTGGTTCCATGACACAGCGGCATCGTCTGTCTAGGTTAGCCGCTGCTTTTCGATTGAGTGACCCGCTAACATGACTCTCACTGCCCCTCATAAAAAAGGGACGGATCCATCAGTTCCCTTTGATAACCTCGCGAAAGAGGTAACGTAATTGAAGAATATGGCAGCTTTCGCCACACCACTCACCACCTGACATGCACCAGTTCGCCAAAACACTAGTTTCAGTGTGGCGTAGTCTTCTTCATCGCCTGCAGTCTCTGACATGCACCTCAACCATCAGATCATCGAAGTAGATTTTCTATCCACGTGTCGATACAAGTCACCACGTATTTCTGCATCGAGATTGTCAACCGCTCGCTTTCGACACGCGTGACTCACCTCGCTGACTCGGCGACGTGCTATGTCTAGTCATTCGTCAGGTCTCCAGCCTATCCCATTTCGAGAAATATCGGAACATTGCTGTGATAAACACTTCCAGAAGCTGGCAGTTTTTGGGATTGACGAGCGCATTCACCTGACCAGCAATTACACTAGACATTCGTGATTTTCTGGATAGGACATATTTCTCCACCCTCTCCTTTTCCCCACATCCCACGCGCCCCAGTCTGACTGCGCCTCGCACCAGTGTGCCTTTCACAGACGGAAATCTCCTCCATCCCCATGCTCACCCCATTTGACCCCATCCCAACCCTTTCAAACCCTGCCACTTCCTCTCCCAACCTATCTGTATTCGTGCTCCTACCTTCCTGGCTCATACATATTTCTTCGATTCATGAAAGAGCAGTTTTATTTGTCAGTGATGAGTCAGTGACTACGAGGAGCCCAGTCACGTCGTACAGATCAGTGCGCCATAATTTCTTGCTGTCCACCTTGTTGATCGTCTGCTGTCGCCGACAGCTAGTACCGTGGATTAGCGGGATCCACGTGGTTCTCGATTCAGCACTCGCCTCCCGCGCGAGGAAATTCTAGCAAGGCTAGACGATCAGCCATTTTTGCTGGAATTCTCCACGCGAACAGGTGATTGCACCTGGTTTAAACGCTTCGACAGTACCTGTCATAGGTTATTAGCAGCGAAACATCTCCTCGAAGCATGGCAGCACTCGAAGCTTCTTGCCTTCGAGCGGGAAAGTGTCTAACGCGCGGAGCTTCACCGTCCGCATCTCCCGCTTCCTCCGCTTCCCGCATTTCTCTCACTTCATCGCTCACCTCTTCTCCTGCCAGCCGGCGGTTGCTACAACTTCGCCGCTCCCAATCTCTCCCAAGCTCACTGAAATCCGGTCATAGCTCTAGCTCAAATGGCGGTGCTCTCAGCACACGATGCGACGCCTCAGGACCCGTCAACGACCTGCTCGTCTCGTTAACGACAGCCGTCAGCTCTGACGGCTCCCTGACGGACGGATCTCGTTCCTCTCTCTTCCTGGCCGTCGGCGTGGGTCTCCCGTGCACCGTCATGCAATGCGGTGACGTCATCTACCGGAGCACGCTAGCAGCGGACGATCAGTTGAGATTGACGGTGGGAGGAGTGCTGCTGCTGGTGCTGCTGGGGACCTATATGTGGGCCACGCCGGGCGTCGTTCCCGGGTTCTTCGATATGTTCGTGTACGGGCCGATTGAACGCAAAATACGGCCGCAGCTTAAGAAGGTGAGAGGCGAATTTCGAGGTGCCTCAAAAGGCGTCGTTCCGGGGTTCTTTGATATGTTCTTGTACGCGCCGGTCGAGCGCAAAATACGGCCGCAGCTTAAGAAAGTGAACTGAAGCCTCTGGTAACTGTATCGCAAGCTAATGCGAAACATTCCACGAATAAATGCCTGATCATCCCCTTCCCTTCGACGCTCCTGGTCTTAACTCGCGTACATGGTGCAGCCGCAACCGCCTGTTTACTTTCTTCCCTCGCATCCTTCTTCCGGCACCCCTTCTCTCCGCTAAATATGGCCTTCCTCCCGTCCTCTCTCCCTCCCCCTTTCCCCTTCCGTTCCGCGCGCCCAGTCCGACGTGAAGCTGGGGCGCAAGCTCGGGGAGGGCGCATACGGCAGCGTGTTCCGCGCCACCATCGCGGACAAACCAGGGGAAGAGGTGCGCGCGGGGGAGGGATGAAAGGGGGAAAGTGCGGCGAGACCAGGCGTGAAAAGGGGGAACCGGACAGCGGAAGACTGGGCTAGCCGGGGGAGATGGGGGGAGTGGGCTGCGGAAGAGAGCTGGGTTATGCATTGCCTCACATTCTTCACCCTAGCGGGTTACTCCTCCCCTTGTCCTAAATCTCACCCCCGCGGTCCCCATGGTGCCCAATCTCGCCCCTCCGTTCCCATTCTCCCGCCTCTTTCCCTGTCCCGAATCCGGTCCCCAATGTTCCCCCTCCCCTTCCCGCCTGTGGCGCGCGGCACCAGTTCGTGGTGAAGAAGGCAAGCGAGCTCGGCGCGGCGGAGCTGTGGATGAACGAGCGCCTTACTTGCACATGCCTTCAAACCCATGCTCCCTCCTGTCTCCCTTCATCCTCCCCACCTTCCCCCCACCTCCTCCCCCCCTTTCTCCCCACCTCCTTCCCCCCCTTCCCCCCACCTCCCCCCCCCCTTCCCCCCACCTCCCCCCCCCCCCTTCCCCCCACCTCCCCCCCCCTTCCCCCCACGCCCCCCCCCTTCCCCCCACCTCCTCCCCCCCTTTTCCCCCACACCAGTTCGTGGTGAAGAAGGCGAGCGAGTTCGGCGCGGCGGAGCTGTGGATGAACGAGCGCGTCAGGCGCGCATGCCCGCAGGCGTGCGCCGTCTTCGTTGACGGCTTTGTGGAGGTGCGCTGGAATGGAAGGGGGAGCGGAGGAAAGAAAGGGAAGGGGCAGCGGGGAGAGAAAGGGAAGGGGGAAGAGAGAGGGGGGGGGGGTTGGCGCGATTATGCTGTTGGGAGGAGAGGGGTGTTGGCGATGCTGTGAGAATAGGGTGGAATTCTGTGCCCACATTCATTTCGCTAAACTCAAAAGTCGGAAGTTCGTTACTTTACGCATGTTCCCCCCCCACTGGCGCTTCCCATTTCTCCCCCTCCGCCATCCCCGCCCAGTGTCTCCCTCCGCCCTCCCCGTCCGCCCGGCCCTCCTTCCCCCATCTGCAGAAGACCAAGACGCGTTACAACTTCTGGATCGTGTCGCGCTTCGAGGGTAACGTCACTTTCCTTGTCCACTTCTTCCGTTCCTTGAAGCCTTTTGTATCTCTACCCCAACGCTCCTCCCCTCTCTCCCCTCCGCCCTCTCCGCCCTCCCCGCCGTTCCCGCCATCCGCCCGCCCTCCTTAACCCCACCCTGAGCAGAAGACCAAGACGCGCGACAACTTCTGGATCGTGTGGCGCTTTGAGGGCAACGCCACCTTCGCTGACGTGTTGCAGGATGACAACTTCCCCTACAATGTGAGTGTTGAGATCAAAATTCCCCTCTGGAATGTGAGTAGCGAGATCAGAACTTCCCATGCAACGAGAGTGGGGCGGGGAGACAGGCACTAGGTAGGAGAGTGAGGATGGTTCGTGATATCCCCTCGACGAACTAGCAAGCTTTGAAGTATCTCCCGCCCTGGATGGTTCGAGACAGGCACTAGGTAGGAGAGATTGCTGAGGTACGTACGTTCCCTGAGGCATCTCGAATTTCTTCTCTCCCCTCCCCCACCCATACCCCATACCCCTCCCTCCCTCCATTCACGGGACTGGAGGAGCCGCTGCAGTGCAGGGATGCGTGCTTCGGGAGCTTCTATAACAGTTTCCCGTAGGACACCCGCTTGGTTTGAGACGTCTCAAAACTAGATACCCCATACGCCTCCCTCCATGCACGGGACTGGAGGAGCTGGTGCAGTGCAGGGATACGTGCTGCGGGAGCTTCTAAAACAGTTTCCTTTTGAGTCGACTCAAAAGTCAACCCCATACGCCTCCCTCCATTCGCGGGACTGGAGGAGCCGGTGCAGTGCAGGGATACGTGCTTTGGGAGCTCCTAAAACAGTTTCCCGTAGGACACCCTCTTACTTGCCCCACCACACGCCACCCCACACCACCCTGCCCCACTCCCGCCGTACCCCTTCCGTTCCTCACAGGTAGAGAAGGCAGTGCCGGGGTTCGTGCCGCGGGAGCCCCTCTAATCATTACCAACCCACTCATACTCCCCTATATTCCCTCACCTCCTCCTCCCCCCTCCCCCCCCCTCCCCCCCGCAGGTAGAGAAGGCAGTGCCGGGGTTCGTGCCGCGGGAGCCCCTCTAATCATTACCAACCCACTCATGCTCCCCTATATTCCCTCACCTCCTCCTCCCCCCTCCCCCCACTCCCCCCTCACAGGTAGAGAAGGCAGTGCTGGGGTACGTGCCTCGTGAGCCCAAGGGGCCTGAGCGGGAGATGCGGGTGATCCGCACCATCCTAAAGCGCATCCTGAAGAGTGTGGACAAGCTGCACTCCGTGGGCATCGTGCACCGTGACATCAAGCCACAGAACATGATCTTCAACTCCGGTGCGTCGGGATGAAGGCATTAGGAGCAGGGAATGTGGATGTGTTTGCAGGGGGGTGTGGAGCCATGAGCAGGGAAATTGGGCTGGGGAGGTGCAGTCTGAATCGCATTGCATCCTGAAGAGTGTGGACAAGCTGCACTCCGTGGGCTTCGTGCACCGCGATATCAAGCCACAGAACATGATCTTCAACTTTGGTGGGTGGGGAGAAAGAGGGGCTGGGGTTGGGGCAACTTTGGGTGAGTATGTAATTTGGATATGAAGTGCAGTTTGTCCAGATTACATACTCACCCAACTTTGCCCTCTGGCACAGACTGCACTCCTGGCTATCATGCAACAGGACATGAAGCAACTTCACATGCCATAGAAACGCAGGCATGGAAGTAGGCGGGCATGTATGCACAAGGGGATGGTTTCTGCAGAGCAGAGCAAGGGCCATGTGCTCACCCCTTCTTCTCTTCCCCATTTCTCTTTCCTTTGCCCGTGTTTGTTGCCCATGCAGACACGGGCGAGCTGAGAATCACCGACCTGGGCGCTGCTGCTGACCTGCTGGCTGTACCTACTGCTCACACACGGCCCCATCACCCCTTCTTCCCCCATTCCCTTCGTCCGTGTTCCCCATCCATGCAGACACGGGCGAGCTGAAGATCATTGACCAGGGTGCTGCTGCTTACCTGCTCAACGCACTTCCCACTTCCCTGATGCGCTCTTTCCCCCTCCCTCCCCCACCCCCCTCACCCATGCTACAGAGACGGGTGAGCTGAAGATCATCGACCAGGGTGCTGCTGCTAACCTGCTGATTGCACCTGCACCTGTTTTCTTTGCGTGTGCCCCTGCAATAATCCATGCAGACACGGGCGAGCTGAAGATCATCGACTTGGGCGCTGCTGCTGACCTGCGAGTGGGGATCAACTACAACCCCAACGAGTTCCTGCTGGACCCGCGGTGGGTACATTCACAAAGAAGAGGGAGAAAATAGGGAGAACGGGGATGGGCTTTTGGTCCTCATGTGTTGTGCATGTTGACCTCTCACTGCTGACCTGCGAGTGGGCATCGACTACAACCCCAACGAGTTCCTGCTGGACCCGCGGTGGGTACATTCACAAAGAAGAGGGAGAAAATAGGGAGAACGGGGATGGGCTTTTGGTCCTCATGTGTTGTGCATGTTGACCTCTCACTGCTGACCTGCGAGTGGGCATCGACTACAACCCCAACGAGTTCCTGCTGGACCCGCGGTGGGTACATTCACAAAGAAGAGGGAGAAAATAGGGAGAACGGGGATGGGCTTTTGGTCCTCATGTGTTGTGCATGTTGACCTCTCACTGCTGACCTGCGAGTGGGCATCGACTACAACCCCAACGAGTTCCTGCTGGACCCGCAGTGGGTGGCTAGATAGATTGAGGAGAAAACGGGTGTGTGCTTTGGGTTTCATTGCTGGCCTGCGTCAGGTGCTGCTTGTGTTGTGCATTCGGACATCTCACTGCTGATCTGCGAGTGGGCATCATCTACAACCCCAATGAGTTTCTGCTGGACATGCGGTGGGTACAAACATTAAGGATGGGCTGTGGGTGCTGTGCTGGTCTGCGTGTGGCGTGTCATGCGCTGCGTCATGTGTTGTGCATGCTCGCCCCTCACTGCTCGCCCCTCACTGCTCGCCCCTCACTGCTCGCCCCTCACTGCTCGCCCCTCACTGCTCGCCCCTCACTGCTCGCCCCTCACTGCTCATCCCTCACTGCTCGCCCCTCACTGCTCGTCCCTCACTGCTCATCCCTCACTGCTCGCCCCTCACTGCTCATCCCTCACTGCTCATCCCTCACTGCTCATCCCTCACTGCTCATCCCTCACTGCTCATCCCTCACTGCTCATCCCTCACTGCTCATCCCTCACTGCTGATCTGCGAGTGGGTTGTATCAACTACAACCCCAACGAGCTCCTGCTCGACCCCCGGTGGGTACATACTTTCAAGAAAACAAAAAAAAGGGGCGAGGGGTTGTGCTTTGCATGCCTTCGCTGGTCCCTCGTCCTTAACGAGTCCCTGATGGATCCCCGTGGGTGGAGGCAGCAGCACCAGAGCAGTGCATCATGAGCACTCAGACGCCCTTTGCATAGACATAAATACCCCCCTCCTCGCCCCCGCTGATCGTCACCCCTCCATCCTGACCGCCCAGCTACGCAGCAGCAGAGCAGTACATCATGAGCACTCCATCATGAGCACTCCATCATGAGCACTCCATCATGAGCACTCCATCATGAGCACTCCATCATGAGCACTCCATCATGAGCACTCCATCATGAGCACTCTAACGCCCTTTGCATAGTCTTGAGTTTCCCCCTCCTTCTCCCAACCCCCCACCCCCTCTTGTCCCTCCAGCTACGCAGCAGCAGAGCAGTACATCATGAGCACTCAGACGCCCTTGTATAGGCTCAATTCCCCCCCTCCTTCTCCCCCCCCACCTCCCGATTCTTACCCCTCCATCCTAATCCTAATCCAGCTACGCAGTACCAGAGCAGTACATAATGAGCACTCAAACGCCCTTTCATTAGTTAAAAGTGAACCTCCCCCCACTCTCCTCCCCCTCCTTCCCCCCCCACCACCAGCTATGCGGCATCAGAGCACTACATCATGAGCACTCAAACGCCCTTCATATAGGCTCAACCTCTCCTCCAGCTGCCCCTTTCCCCCTCCCCCCCGCCTCCCCCATCCTATCCTAATCCCACCAGCTACGCAGCACCAGATCAATACATCACGCGCACTCATGCGCCCTTATGCATAGGCTTGAAACCTCTCCCTTTCCCCCTCCAAACCCCCACCCCTTCATCCCATTCCCTCTACCCTTCTCCCACCAGCTACGCAGCACCAGAGCAATACATTATGAGCACTCAGACGCCCAACGCGCCTCCCCCCACCATCGCTGCTCTGCTCTCGCCAGTGCTGTGGCAGGTGTGTGGGTCGCCTGATCGTGAGTGCTGGGGTTGATTCTGAGTGGATGTGCTTGCTGCGTTTCGAATCCAACAAATTTCAACTTGTTTGTTGGCGTGTGGATGGGTGCGTCTGTATGTCTGGTTGTGTTTATATGTCTGCGACCTGGGTGTGTGTGTGTGCCTACCTGTGTATGTGATTCTCATGTGCTGCCTTGCAGATAGAACAGCTAGAACCAAGACCTCTGTGCCACTGCCTTCCGGTCTTTCTCTCAATTTCCTCCTTTCTCGCTCTCTTGCTTGCAGATGAACCTCCCTGACCGCTTCGACATGTACAGTGTGGGAATCATCTTCCTTCAAATGGTACGTGCTATAACGTGCGATCAAATCCATTTGCAAACAGTCCCTCCCGCATCCAGCTCAACCAACAGCTCATCTCTTCCCTTCCCTCCCCTCTCGACTCACACTTCCTCTCTCTCCAATTGCATCGTTCTTCTCCCCTATAGTGTCATCCTCCTCCCCCCTCTCATGCTATCCGTTTCTTTCCCCTCCCATCTCCTCCCCTCCAACCCTCTCCCCTCTCCCCCTTCCCCAACCTCCGCAGGGACAGTCCGCTCATCCAGTTCAACCGCCAGCTCATCTACACCTCCCTCTCCCCTCCCCTGCCCTCTCATCCTATCCACACCTCCCTCTCCCCATCTTCCCTCTCCCCAGGACTTTCCCAATCTGCGCGCCGACAGTCCACTCATCCAGATCAACCACTTTCTTCCCTCCCTCCCCCCTCGTGGAATCCTTCCACTCCGTCCCATCCCATCCCCTCCACCCCTTCTCCACCCCCTCCCGTTCCTCCTGCTTCCCTCTCCCCAGGTATTCCCCAGTCCGCGCATCCAGTTCAACCGCCAGCTCATCTCTTCCCTTTCATCTCCTCCCCACTCATCCTTCCTGTCCCTCTCATTCCACGCCTCCCAGGTCTTCCCCAACCTCCGCACGGACAGCCCACTCATCCAGTTCAACCGCCAGCTGAAGCGCTGCGAGTACGATCTCGCCAAGTGGCGCGAGGTGCAGGAAGGCCGCGCCCTCAGCGACGCGCAGCTCAAAGCCTTCGCCATGCTCGACGCAGACGGCGGCCACGGCTGGTCCCTCCTGCAAGCCCTCGTCAACGTGAAGCCCGGGCGGCGGATTTCGGCAGCGGGAGCGATCGCGCACCCGTTTTTCTACCCTGGGGGTGTTCCGCTGCTGCAGCAGCTGCGGCTGGGGTTTGTGCGGTTCCTGTACCGGGACAACACAGAGTTGTCAGAGGCGTTTGGCACGTTCATGTCCAAGGGGGGTACGGATGAGGCGGGCGGGTTCACGGAAGCGTCCCTGATGGAGTTCAAGGTGAGAGGGGGGGTTGTGTGGATTTGAGTGTGTGAGGGTCATGGAATGGGTTCGGCGTTTTGTTTCGTTTCCTGCAGTGCCTTTTCCTCCAAAATTTATGTTCATCGGCCATCCAATGTGCTCCATCCCCCATCTAATGCTTCGTTCCTTCACCTACCACCATCCGATATTCCTTCCTGCTCATTGGCCCACAAACAACCCAATGTGTTCCTTCTTGTCCCCTCAACTTGCAATGCTCTCCCTTGGAGCAGAAGCGGGAGAAGAAGATGAAGAAGTCATCTCTGGACCGCAACGCCCTGGCCTCCATGATCAAGGCGTCACGGAAGGTGTCTAAAAACGTTGCATCCTCCGTGTCCACCACGTTCGGCAGCTCTAAGGAGGATGGCGCCAAAAAGGAAGCCTGGTGGAACCGGTGGCAATCAGAATAGGCTGTGCTACACTGGTATACTGGCTTTCCTAAATTTGGTGCCCTTTTATTTGTTATAAATCCTTATACAGTAGGAGGATTTGATGGTTTTCTAGGTATTCCTCCCTCGGCTGTCAGCAAATTCAAGCAAGTGTGCCATGCATGGCAGATGTTATATATCCATAACTCAATGTCTTTGAGGGTTTGCACATAGCACATTTGAACCTTATTTGCTAGATAGTTTGCAGCATCTGAACTTTGCCTAAAGGGTCAACACGAGGCTGCATGCCCTGCTTGCTGACATGCGCATCATCATGTTTACAAGGATCACCTCCGGGATAGAATATTACGAATCAATAGATCAACGTATGTCGAAATTTAGACAACTTTAGAGCTGTAAGTGAATCCACACACCAATTGTAACCGATTTATCCCATGATCAAAACAACACATACCGATTCATAGGTATGGCGCGTGCGCTCTATGGGCCGCCCGCACGCGCTGGCGCGGAACGCATAGAGGTTCACATCTCAGGAAGGACAGGATGTATGATGACGGCCTCCTTTTTTGACAAAAAGCATTCGCACGCGACGGTCTGCTTGCAGCATTTTCTGTGCGCCTGTGTGAACCCATTCTCTGTGTGGCTTTGTAGTCAACAAGTGGACCATCGAGCAAGTGGAGTTGAGAGGATGGCTCTGTACGTACTATTGCCCTATAAGCACTGCTGCCCGTCGGAATTCTGATGGGGTCAGGGGTGGCGGTGGGATGAAAACATTCAGATGCCTTTCCGATCCGCGAAAGGGAACCATAAAGGCATCCATAGTTTGTGGTGTAGCATGTACCTGAAATAAAAGGTCATCCGACATCCTTAGTCTGTGGTGTGGAGCTCTCGCTGAATTGCATCAATAAGGCCTTGCCATCTCCCAGCATTTCGATTGGTTAAAGGGTTGCATCCACGCGGAAAACCTGGAGCATGTGCTGATGCTCCAAGCGACCTAGACCAATTCAGGGAAAATTATGACGTGGCATCTGCATAACAATCATTTCGAAGATAGTCACGTGACCTTGGATACGAATGACGTTAGGCAGGCAGCCACACAAGGACTGATTTTTTTACAGAACAACCAGCCCTGTCGGAACCAACCAGTATATTGTTTTCCGTATTAATTCAGGTCGGTGCTCCCTTTGCCAAACAAATCAAAAGTAGTGATGCTCACGGGGTTTGACCAATCAATTCTGGTTCCACGACCGAATATTCGACGAATTTCTGTCCAGCTAGGAGGAATAAATACTCTAAAAAATGAATGTATTAACTCAACTCAAGGCTTTGGATCTGGAGGGAACAGGTTGAGTAACCTTCGAACCATCAGGACTTGGCATCCGTTGGCTGGAAAAGCAGATTATCGTGCTGATCCTGGAGCCTGATTCGTGCTTGCACATATCTTCCTTTGGATGGCTCGTCTGATGTGGCAAACCCCAATCGAGTGATCAAGCACTCGAGAATTCCACCTTCTGGCGCGCTATGCGGCAGTGCTTCGCCGTTGCTTCTAGAATGTCCGCTGCGAAGCTTGAGTGTAACCAGCGTGACACTGTCGAATATCCGCTTGAAGTTTTCGCTGCTTTACCGGGCTGCCCTCGGTCGTCCAGATTCACTTTCTTGGGCAGAGGATGACTATGTCAGCAAAGCCAGCTGGGACCAGGGCTGACGATTCAAGGGCAAATGCCCTTAATGCCCTGAACATTAAGGGTTGGGTTCGGCCCAGCTTCCGAAGTTTAAGGGCTGGCTTTGAGGGCAGCCCTTTCCCGCAAAGTTCTGGTTGTGGGCCTAACCCGGATTTTAAGTGCAGTTCTGCGGCTAGCCCCTATCGTCCCATACTAATACCTCCCTCCCTCCCAATCGCTCACCAGTCCCCCCACCTCCTCCCAGCCACTCCCCTACTTCCTTTTCCCATCCCCGTCAAATCCATCGACATGTTTCGAACCTCAGACTTTTGCCTAGCTGGCTCTTAGTAGTTTGCCTAGGATACGGACCCGAAGAGATGTAGGTTTTCCTTAGCGAAAGTGCAGAAAGTTGGTAGCCCTGATTTCAAGTGCCAGGTTTGCTCTCAGCCCGTAAATTTCAGGGCAACTATTGGGGCACCTCAGCCTCTCAAGTTCTGGCTCCAAACCAATCGACAGCCCTGGCTGGGACCCTCATGTGGTGCGAGAGTGCCAGATGCATTGCCCATGTTGCCCATGAGGAGCAGCCATCACCTTTTCCCTGACCGGCAAGCTTTTCAAACCCAACACGCTTCAGGGTTGGCTGGGGGAGCAGGCTCGGGGCAATCGTCGGTTTCCCCAAGAAACCTTCCCCCAAGGCAGCGATAATGCCGTGCAGTGCAGTGTACAGTTCTGAATTCCGCCGAGAACGGAACCGACGGAACGACAGAGCGGAGTTCCCCAGGGGGCGGGCGGAAACTAGGGGGAGGGGAAGGGAGGGGAAGGGAGGGGAAAGGACTCCCTTCCACAGTCCACTCTTCCCGCTTTCCTTCAGTTTGCCAGGGCCCAGGAGCAGCAGCCCGTGTGTCCTTATCCTCAGGCAAGGTGATGTCAGAGGGCGTAGACTGGCCACATATGAGATCCCCTCTCCCACATTGTTGGTTGGCACATTCACACATTTCAAGCTCTTCAGCTACATTGTGCCCAACCCAGAGAAAGCTTGCTTGTTTTCTCTGGCAGTAGAGGGTTTCAGAGTCTCTCACATTCCAACGTTGCAATGGCAGGAATAGTGTCCGCTGCACCTGTTTCACTGGTGGAGATTAAGGGACAGGCTACGAAGCCTGCAAAGTCGTCGCAGAATGAAAAGGGAAAGGATAAGACGCAGAAGGCGAACGAACAACGGCTGGGGATCCGGGACCCGATCATCGCCAAAAAGCAGGGGCCTTCGCAAAAGGGCTCTGGTAAGACCGACGGAAAGCTTCAGCTTTCGAAATCCACGGAGTCTTTGGCGACGACAGATCCTATGAAAGGAGCCGCTTTGGCCGATATTTTGGCGTCGGACGTTTCGGAGATGGACACGAAATTCGCCGTCACAGCTGCTGCCGAGCCTGCTGATAGCGATAAGGTTGAATCGGACTGCCTGGAGCGGTTACCGCACGGCAACTCTGCGTCCGCCAGTAGTCCGGCGAGGGAAGGGACAGCAGAAGTTCAAGGGAAGGACGCAGCTTTGGCAGGAGCAGCAGATGACCTGGAAAACTGTGACATTTCTTCTTGGCCAGATTTCTCGCTGGATTCATTCGACGGCGGGGAAATAGATGAGCTGGACATGGCAGGTTCGCTCATTTTGCCGGAGCTCGAGGAAATGTCTCAGAAGGACCAGTCGCAAGCAGAGCCGGAAGCCAGTGCCGATACGCGTCCGTCGGAAACGTCCTCCAAGAGTGTTCAGCAGAGCGAGCAGTACGAGTCGTCGTGCAAGAGCGGGAGCAAGACTTCCACGGGAAAGAAAAAGGCCAAGGTACGTCGTCTGGTGTCATACCTAAAATCGACCATATCCTCATTTTCACAATCGTGATATTTCACACATCAGCATCGCTAAAATTTTCACCTTTGTGTATCGCATCTCCAGGTTGACTGGACACCGGAGCTGCACAGAAGATTCGTTCTTGCGGTAGAGCAGTTGGGAGTCGAGAAGGCCATTCCATCTAGGATCTTGGAGCTTATGGGGGTGAAATGCCTCACCCGGCACAACATCGCCAGCCATTTGCAAAAGTACCGCTCGCACCGGCGGCATCTCGCCGCTCGGGAAGCCGAGGCCGCGAATTGGCACAGCAGAAAACCGTCCGATGGAATGGTCTGGCCTGGCCAGGCAACAGCAGCACCAGCAGCAGCAGCCCCTACTTCATGGGCTTATCCTACTACTGCGCCTGCTCCTAGCGGAGCGCAGTCCAATCCGCCGATGATTCAGCCCCGACCCGTGGTCGGTGTGCCGCCGTATCAGCCGTATCAGATGGCTCAGTCGCACATGCCGATGGCGCATCACCAGCCGTCGATGGCGGCGAGCCCCGCGCCCGCGATGGGCATGCCGATGCACGTGTGGGGACACCCGACCGTTGACCACTCGCGGTCGCACATGTGGCAACAGCCGCAGCACCAGGCTGCGACGTCTCCTTATCCTCCTCCTGCGTGGTTCGCTCCCGATGGCTCAGTCTGGCACTACGCTGGGGTGAGCTTACGTCATAATAGTCCTTCTCGTTCGCTCGTCGTCGTGGGTTAGCTCAGCCGTGGTTTATTTGTTTTCCGTCTTCCCTGTCATTAAGTTTTTCTCTCGTCATTTGTCGTCCTTTCTTTCTTGGCGTTCAGGTGCAGGCTCCGTCGCCTGCGATGGACGCGTGGGGCCATCCCACCATGATGGTCTCGGGAACGCCCTGCTACCCCCACCAGCAAGCGCCCGCGCTCAGCTACCCTGTGGTGCGTGTTGCTTGCCTCGCCATCGCCGATGCCTATAGGCCCGCGCGTGGCATGTCCCAGTGTTGCCCTGCATTCTTGCGTTTTTTCCTCATGTTGCCTCTGTTTCTTGTTCAATGACGTTCGTTCATCGTCCTGTTCTCCCGTTCCTCGTCGTCTTTATCCGATGCTAGTTCGTTGATTCTATCCCGCTCACCTTCTCCTTTATCCCTCTCTCTCGTTCGTCCCCCTCTCGTACCTGCAGGCACAGGGTGTGGTGTGCGGAGCGCCTGTGTGCGGGCCAGGAGGAATGGCCCACGGCACCATGCAAGGCATGCCCTCGTCCATGGGCGTGCCCGCTCAGGGCTCGGTCGCCATGGGCGCCGCTCCCGCCGGTGCCATGCCCGGGACCATGACCATGACGGGAACCGTGAACGGGGCCGTGAACGGGACCATGGGAGGAGCGATGGGGGGGGCCATGGGAGGGGCAGTGGGAGGCATGGCGCCGACGCCGGCGTGTGAGACACTAGACTTTGCGGACGAGGCGATGCCCAACCCCATGTTCCCCCTCCCGGATGATATCTCTCTGGACTTCGCTGCCATCACCGCCAGCCTCGGGGAGGACCTCATTGAGGTATGCTCGCTCGCTTGCTTGCTTGCTTGCGCTCTCCCGCTCCTCCTCTTGCTCCCGCTTATTTCCGCCTTGTGTAAACGTTAAACCACAAAGCTTTGCTCGCTTTTGCCACACAAGAAGGTACACCGCAGTTTGACTAAGCAGCATTATTTCGCTCTGTGGTTGTGCAGGCCAATGACATCCTTGATGCGGCGATCAGCGAAGCCTTAACCAATCCGTCGACACCACTGCCTCTGGGCCTGAAGCCGCCGTCAGTGGACGGTGTGCTGGAGGAGCTCAACAAGCAGGGCATCACCATGCCGCCCGCAACCCCTGAGGCCCTAGACGCCCTCCCTGCTGCCGAAGTCGCGGCTGTTGCTTCCGAGCTGGAAGCCATTCTGGAGCCGTAGATGCCGCTTTCGGTGGTGCAGCCAGCAGTTTGGAGGCGCGTGGAGCAGTTTTCTAGTTTAGCAGGTGGCAGGTAGTTGTAGAGTTGAGTTTTGAAGTGCAAGCTTGGCCTTGAGGCGTGTCTCTCTCAAGGCCGGCAGAGGAGATCTTCTCTACATCAACCGACAGTTTCGTTGTCCTAATCCGTCGATACCTCCGTCAGTTTTGAAAGACTGACCAATTTGCCGATATATCAGCCGTGGGGTTCCAAGCAATGCTGCTGCTTTGTGTTCCCCCTGTGAACTGCAAGGCGTGGAGCGACTTGAGTTGGAAGGGGAGTGAGTTGGAATGGTGGTGGAGCTGTGATTCTGTGATGCTACCCAGCAAGATGCTGAGCGAAGTGAAGGTGCTTCAAGTGGGCCTTCAGAAGAAATAGTTGGTCTTGGTGGCATGAAGGCCATTTTTGGTGGCATCTCTCAACTGCTTCCTACAATTTTCACTGTGTTGGGGGTGGGTTGCTTGGGATGTTTTTTTTCTTTCTTGTTCGCTGACTATCTTGCTGGGGAAAAATGGGGTTAAGACATGCGACTTCTGGGTGGATGTGGGCGGGTTTCATCTGGTTGGTTGGATTGCTTATCTTATCTGGTGGCTCTGCTTTGTATGGTCTGGGGGGTCCGATGCTTCATTTGTCCCTCTTTCCAAACTTGTACACAGAAATTCAGTTTTTATCTCAAATACTCGTAACTCGACGTAATGTACTAGCTTTAAGCCAAATACAACAAGTCTTGTCCTCCGGACCGTTATATGAATCTCCTCTCACGCTGATACTGAAAGTGAAAATAAGGGCGACGTCAGGTTGCACATTTCTCACACATTTACAGTTCTAACGTGGGTCGGGACGGTTCCACACGGTGAAAAGCGGTTCTCGAGGCTCACCGTTTTTGCACCGTGACGAAACGAAGTTGACCGCAGTGAGCGTACAGAAGTTGTGCAACCTGATGTCGCCCTAAAAGCCTCGATATTTCCAAACGCCAGGCCAGCGTGACCAGAGGAACGTGGATCACGACAACCACCAGTACGCAACAGCAGCTTGCTGGGGCTGCGCGGCACCTATTGCTCAGGCATTTCGTCTAGAAGTGTAAACAGCATCGGGATCGCCGATAGGAGCGAGTCCTTTCCTGTCTGAGTCGCCTGCATCGGCTTAGCAGTGGCAGCCATGGCCGCGTATCAGCCGCTGCAGCTCGCCGCCGAGCAAGACGATCGTCCGGAATTCGTTCGCCTAGGGTAAGAACGCGAACAATGCAAAATTATTGCACAGCGAACCCAGGCAAATAGATGGGCCAGTTTGCTGCTTCTTATCTGCTCTCGGGGCCTTTCATGTAGTGTTTTTCCGTGTGTAACCGACTTCTTGTGGCGCTAACGCTCCGTGAATCTGTTGCGAAACCCTAATCCTGTCAGGAGACGCAAGTCCGACATTCGCCAACGGCTAACTCCCGGACCCACCCCTCCCCCGAGCCACGCTTCCCCGCTCGTCACCTTCCCGGACTCCACCCCCCGACCGTCTGGCCCAGGCTTGGGACAAGCCACGGGTACAGGCTCGAGGACCGGGTTCGGCATCGACATGGGAGAGTATTCTGGCGGTTTGAGGGGTGCCGATCAAGGGTATAGATCCCCTAAAGAGGTTCACGTCTCCCCCTTTATTGTCACACCCAGTTCCGGGCGTAGTGTGGGAGTCGGAAGGGACATTGGCGGAGATTTTCCGCTTTTCGGGGGAGGAATGAGCCCGGAATTGGCGTCAGGTGGGGGTATAGGGAAGGGGAGGGGAAGAGCGGGAATGAGCCCGGAGAGCCAACCGCAGGTGCAACAAGAGCAGCAGCAGAAGGAACAGCAGCAGCAGCAGCAGAGGCAGCGAACAGACAAGAAGAGGAGGGCTCGGCTGAAGATGCGAGCTGTGAGTCGTTAGATGCGAGCTGTGAGTCGTTAGATGCGAGCTGTGAGTCGTTAGATGCGAGCTGTGAGTCGTTAGATGCGAGCTGTGAGTCGTTAGATGCGAGCTGTGAGTCGTTAGATGCGAGCTGTGAGTCATTTGATGCGAGCTGCGTGTCTTACACGCTGCGCTGCACCCTGAAGCACCATATGCTAGCTGCATCCTATGCACCGCTTTAGTCGCAGTCGCGTCTCAGTTCTGTCACATCACCACCAGCACCAACGAAACCACCACCACCTCCAGCTCACATTGTGACGCCACCACCACCATCACCGTGATTGCCTCAGCTCAGTTCCGTCACACCGCCGCTATCACCGTGTCACCCGTGCAGGAGGCCCCAGTGGACTTTGACGACCGCGGAGAGGAGGTGTACGAGCGGTTTGAAGGCGTGCTGGCCGCTGCTGTGCGCGGTGAGTCAGGTGTTTGGAGTAGCTTCTTATCCTGGCCCTGCAGGCTCAGGCTAACGTCCCACTCTAGTGCACCCACCCAGTGGACTTTGAGGACCGCGGAGAGGAGGTGTATGAGCGGTTTGAAGGCGTGCTGGCTGCTGCTGTGCGCGGTAAGTCAGGCGATTGGCGTGGCTTCTCACTCTGGCCTTGCATTCTCAGGCTAGAGCGGTGAGAAGGCGTGCTTCTGCGGTGCGAGGGGAGAGGGCGTGCTGGCTGTGGCCCTGAGGACGGGTGCTGTGGACGTGTTTTGAGTCGACTCAAAGCACTGCTACTGCGGTGCGAGGGGAGAGGGCGTGCCACTGCGGTGCGAGGGGAGAGGGCGTGCTGGCAGTGGCCCTGAGGACGGGCGCTGGGGAGAGCGGACAGTGCATCCCGCACGGGAACACGGCTGTGCTTTTGTCGCTTTCCACAATCTCTATTCATGCATTGCCATGCCACTCGCCTGCTTCTCCTCACAGGTGTGGTGGGTTACAGGGAGTCTCTTCGGCAGTTGGAGCAGTGTTGCAGGGAGCTGGCGGTGGGGCTCAGGGCGGATGCAGGGGAGAGTGTGCAGCCCGCACAGGAGCACAGCATGCGGCTGCGGCTATGCTGACCCTTTCAACAGCGTTTAACCACACTTTGCCGCTCACCTGCGGACTTCTGCCCACCCGTTCTGCAGGTGTGGTGGGTTACAGGGAGTCGCTTCGGCAGTTGGAGCAGTGCTGCAGGGAGCTGGCAGTGGGGCTCAGGGCGGACGCAGGGGAGAGCGTACAGCCCGCACAGGAGCACGTGCTAGCTCTCCTGAATATCTTGCTTAGTCTTTCCTCCTTTCTCTCTCTCTTCCCTGCAGGTGTGGTGGGCTATCGTGAATCCCTGAGGCAGTTGGAGCAGTGCTGCAGGGAGCTGGCAGTGGGGCTCAGGGCGGACGCGGGGGAGAGTGTGCAGCCCGCAAGGAGCACAGGAGGCAGCACGGCTATCCTGTTCCCTTCATACGATTCATAGCCACACATTGCCATTCTCCCGTTCCCCAGGTGTGGTGGGTTACAGGGAGTCTCTTCGGCAGTTGGAGCAGTGCTGCAGGGAGCTGGCAGTGGGGCTCAGGGTGGATGCAGGGGAGAGTGTGCAGCCCGCCCAGGAGCACACACCGCGGCTATGCTGTCACTTTATACAACCTGTTGCCACACATTGCGACTCTCCTCTCCCATTCTCCAGGTGTGGTGGGCTACAGGGAATCCCTAAGGCAGTTGGAGCAGTGCTGCAGGGAGCTGGCAGTGGGGTTGAGGGCGGATGCAGGGGAGAGCGTGCAGCCCGCCCAGGAGCACGTGCTCAGCAGGAAGAGCCAGGCGCTCCAATCAGAGGCTGCCACGTGGGCGCTCATGCACCACCTGTTTGGATACGGTGAGGGGAACCGTCGTTGGTGCGTCTAATGCTTGCTGCGTGCCTGCCCTTCCTCTTTTGCTTGCGCTGCCCTCCCTCTTGCACGTTGTACATTTCGATGGAACATACTCCTTGTGCTAATCAATGCCCTTTTTCTTCTCCTTGCTTCTCTATGCTCTCTGGCATGGTATGGCATGATGGCGTGATGGCATGGCATGGCATGATGGCATGGCATGATGGCATGGCATGATGGCATGATGTCATGGCATGGTATGGAATGGCATGATGGCATGGCATGGCATGGCACAAGCAGACACAGACCATCTCACGGAAGACGTGCGTCTGGTGAGGCTCTCATCCCTGCTCTCCTCCCAACCATCCACATTGCTTCTGTCAAAGAATGTATCTTTCTCCTACTTCGTCTCCTCCTACGTTGCATGATCTCGCCCTCCACTCTTCCTGCCTTCCACTCTTGCTGCCGTCCTCTTCTTGCCTGCTCTCTCCTCTTCTTGCCTGCTCTCTCCTCTTCTTGCCTGCTCTCTCCTCTTCTTGCCTGCTCTCTCCTCTTCTTGCCTGCTCTCTCCTCTTCTTGCCTGCTCTCTCCTCTTCTTGCCTGCTCTCTCCTCTTCTTGCCTGCTCTCTCCTCTTCTTGCCTGCTCTCTCCTCTTCTTGCCTGCTCTCTCCTCTTCTTGCCTGCTCTCTCCTCTTCTTGCCTGCTCTCTCCTCTTCTTGCCTGCTCTCTCCTCTTCTTGCCTGCTCTCTCCTCTTCTTGCCTGCTCTCTCCTCTTCTTGCCTGCTCTCTCCTCTTCTTGCCTGCTCTCTCCTCTTCTTGCCTGCTCTCTCCTCTTCTTGCCTGCTCTCTCCTCTTCTTGCCTGCTCTCTCCTCTTCTTGCCTGCTCTCTCCTCTTCTTGCCTGCTCTCTCCTCTTCTTGCCTGCTCTCTCCTCTTCTTGCCTGCTCTCTCCTCTTCTTGCCTGCTCTCTCCTCTTCTTGCCTGCTCTCTCCTCTTCTTGCCTGCTCTCTCCTCTTCTTGCCTGCTCTCTCCTCTTCTTGCCTGCTCTCTCCTCTTCTTGCCTGCTCTCTCCTCTTCTTGCCTGCTCTCTCCTCTCCCAATCCCATTTTCCACCCTCCCCTCTGTTTCCCGTTTTCTGCATAACCCCCCCTGCTGCCATGTCAGCACCCGTCACCGTCAGCACAGGACACATGCGACTTCCTGTCGACCAATGAGAACGCGCAGCACAGCTGGCGGGTGCTGAGGTGGCTGGAGGGGCTGGCAGAATCAGACCTCATGCTGCTGCAGGCGGTAGGTTGACCTGCGTTGACCAGAGTTGACTAGAGCTGACCTGGCTTAGGTTCTGGTATCCTCGTTTACAGCCTCCCTAGACCCATGGGCCTCAGCTTGCCTCACAGCTTCCACCTCTCTCCCACTCTCGCCCAACTCCACCTCTCTGCACCCCTCCGACCATCCTCTTTCCCGTTTCCTCCCCCTCACAACCCTCTTGCACTGCAATTTTTCTCCCCACTGTTTCCTCCCCAGGAGCGTGGGACCTGCCTGGGAAGCTACACAGAAGCGTCTGGCCTGCGTGTGCACACCCAGAGGGCGATCCGGGAGGGGCAGGGGGGGCTGGGCGGCAGGAGGAGCAACACTCTGGCGTTTGGTGGGCTGGAGGGGGGGTACGGGCGGGGAGGAGGAAGGGGAGAGGAGATGGTGACAGCTGTGGATGCTGATGCTGTTACTCGCGAGGGGGGGCGACTGCATGCAGAGGATGAGGTGAGGGCGGGCTGGGTGGGGTGGTGGGGCTGGGCGGCAGGAGGAGCAACGCGCTGGCGTTTGGTGGGCTGGAAGGGGGGTACGGGCGGGGAGGGGGAGAGGAGACGGTGTCGGCTGTGGATGCTGATGCTGTCACTCGCGAGGGGGGGCGACTGCATGCAGAGGACGAGGTGAGGGCGCTTGTGAATGACTCGTAACGAGCTCTACTCTTCCTTCCTTCCTTCCCTTGTGCCGTGCCGTGTGGGGTGCCTTCCTCAAGAGATGGTGACATCTGTGGATGCTGATGCGGTGACTCGCGAGGGGGGGCGACTGCATGCAGAGGACGAGGTGAGTGTGCCCTACATTTACAAATGGTCTTTGAAGGGCCCTACCTTCCCACCCTTTTGGCACTTGACGTGCCTCTAGAGACGGTGGCGGCTGTGGATGCTGATGCTGTGACTGGAGAAGGAGAAGGAGAAGGAGGACGACTGCATGCAGAGGATGAGGTGAGCCTGGCTGGCTGTAGATCTCCTTGTGTGGTGCTTGGGGCTCCTCAAGAGACGGTGGCGGCTGTGGATGCTGATGCTGTGACTGGAGAAGGAGAAGGAGAAGGAGGACGACTGCATGCAGAGGATGAGGTGAGCCTGGCTGGCTGTAGATCTCCTTGTGTGGTGCTTGGGGCTCCTCAAGAGACGGTGGCGGCTGTGGATGCTGATGCTGTGACTGGAGAAGGAGAAGGAGAAGGAGGACGACTGCATGCAGAGGATGAGGTGAGCCTGGCTGGCTGTAGATCTCCTTGTGTGGTGCTTGGGGCTCCTCAAGAGACGGTGGCGGCTGTGGATGCTGATGCTGTGACTGGAGAAGGAGAAGGAGAAGGAGGACGACTGCATGCAGAGGATGAGGTGAGCCTGGCTGGCTGTAGATCTCCTTGTGTGGTGCTTGGGGCTCCTCAAGAGACGGTGGCGGCTGTGGATGCTGATGCTGTGACTGGAGAAGGAGAAGGAGAAGGAGGACGACTGCATGCAGAGGATGAGGTGAGCCTGGCTGGCTGTAGATCTCCTTGTGTGGTGCTTGGGGCTCCTCAAGAGACGGTGGCGGCTGTGGATGCTGATGCTGTGACTGGAGAAGGAGAAGGAGAAGGAGGACGACTGCATGCAGAGGATGAGGTGAGCCTGGCTGGCTGTAGATCTCCTTGTGTGGTGCTTGGGGCTCCTCAAGAGACGGTGGCGGCTGTGGATGCTGATGCTGTGACTGGAGAAGGAGAAGGAGAAGGAGGACGACTGCATGCAGAGGATGAGGTGAGCCTGGCTGGCTGTAGATCTCCTTGTGTGGTGCTTGGGGCTCCTCAAGAGACGGTGGCGGCTGTGGATGCTGATGCTGTGACTGGAGAAGGAGAAGGAGAAGGAGGACGACTGCATGCAGAGGATGAGGTGAGCCTGGCTGGCTGTAGATCTCCTTGTGTGGTGCTTGGGGCTCCTCAAGAGACGGTGGCGGCTGTGGATGCTGATGCTGTGACTGGAGAAGGAGAAGGAGAAGGAGGACGACTGCATGCAGAGGATGAGGTGAGCCTGGCTGGCTGTAGATCTCCTTGTGTGGTGCTTGGGGCTCCTCAAGAGACGGTGGCGGCTGTGGATGCTGATGCTGTGACTGGAGAAGGAGAAGGAGAAGGAGGACGACTGCATGCAGAGGATGAGGTGAGCCTGGCTGGCTGTAGATCTCCTTGTGTGGTGCTTGGGGCTCCTCAAGAGACGGTGGCGGCTGTGGATGCTGATGCTGTGACTGGAGAAGGAGAAGGAGAAGGAGGACGACTGCATGCAGAGGATGAGGTGAGCCTGGCTGGCTGTAGATCTCCTTGTGTGGTGCTTGGGGCTCCTCAAGAGACGGTGGCGGCTGTGGATGCTGATGCTGTGACTGGAGAAGGAGAAGGAGAAGGAGGACGACTGCATGCAGAGGATGAGGTGAGCCTGGCTGGCTGTAGATCTCCTTGTGTGGTGCTTGGGGCTCCTCAAGAGACGGTGGCGGCTGTGGATGCTGATGCTGTGACTGGAGAAGGAGAAGGAGAAGGAGGACGACTGCATGCAGAGGATGAGGTGAGCCTGGCTGGCTGTAGATCTCCTTGTGTGGTGCTTGGGGCTCCTCAAGAGACGGTGGCGGCTGTGGATGCTGATGCTGTGACTGGAGAAGGAGAAGGAGAAGGAGGACGACTGCATGCAGAGGATGAGGTGAGCCTGGCTGGCTGTAGATCTCCTTGTGTGGTGCTTGGGGCTCCTCAAGAGACGGTGGCGGCTGTGGATGCTGATGCTGTGACTGGAGAAGGAGAAGGAGAAGGAGGACGACTGCATGCAGAGGATGAGGTGAGCCTGGCTGGCTGTAGATCTCCTTGTGTGGTGCTTGGGGCTCCTCAAGAGACGGTGGCGGCTGTGGATGCTGATGCTGTGACTGGAGAAGGAGAAGGAGAAGGAGGACGACTGCATGCAGAGGATGAGGTGAGCCTGGCTGGCTGTAGATCTCCTTGTGTGGTGCTTGGGGCTCCTCAAGAGACGGTGGCGGCTGTGGATGCTGATGCTGTGACTGGAGAAGGAGAAGGAGAAGGAGGACGACTGCATGCAGAGGATGAGGTGAGCCTGGCTGGCTGTAGATCTCCTTGTGTGGTGCTTGGGGCTCCTCAAGAGACGGTGGCGGCTGTGGATGCTGATGCTGTGACTGGAGAAGGAGAAGGAGAAGGAGGACGACTGCATGCAGAGGATGAGGTGAGCCTGGCTGGCTGTAGATCTCCTTGTGTGGTGCTTGGGGCTCCTCAAGAGACGGTGGCGGCTGTGGATGCTGATGCTGTGACTGGAGAAGGAGAAGGAGAAGGAGGACGACTGCATGCAGAGGATGAGGTGAGCCTGGCTGGCTGTAGATCTCCTTGTGTGGTGCTTGGGGCTCCTCAAGAGACGGTGGCGGCTGTGGATGCTGATGCTGTGACTGGAGAAGGAGAAGGAGAAGGAGGACGACTGCATGCAGAGGATGAGGTGAGCCTGGCTGGCTGTAGATCTCCTTGTGTGGTGCTTGGGGCTCCTCAAGAGACGGTGGCGGCTGTGGATGCTGATGCTGTGACTGGAGAAGGAGAAGGAGAAGGAGGACGACTGCATGCAGAGGATGAGGTGAGCCTGGCTGGCTGTAGATCTCCTTGTGTGGTGCTTGGGGCTCCTCAAGAGACGGTGGCGGCTGTGGATGCTGATGCTGTGACTGGAGAAGGAGAAGGAGAAGGAGGACGACTGCATGCAGAGGATGAGGTGAGCCTGGCTGGCTGTAGATCTCCTTGTGTGGTGCTTGGGGCTCCTCAAGAGACGGTGGCGGCTGTGGATGCTGATGCTGTGACTGGAGAAGGAGAAGGAGAAGGAGGACGACTGCATGCAGAGGATGAGGTGAGCCTGGCTGGCTGTAGATCTCCTTGTGTGGTGCTTGGGGCTCCTCAAGAGACGGTGGCGGCTGTGGATGCTGATGCTGTGACTGGAGAAGGAGAAGGAGAAGGAGGACGACTGCATGCAGAGGATGAGGTGAGCCTGGCTGGCTGTAGATCTCCTTGTGTGGTGCTTGGGGCTCCTCAAGAGACGGTGGCGGCTGTGGATGCTGATGCTGTGACTGGAGAAGGAGAAGGAGAAGGAGGACGACTGCATGCAGAGGATGAGGTGAGCCTGGCTGGCTGTAGATCTCCTTGTGTGGTGCTTGGGGCTCCTCAAGAGACGGTGGCGGCTGTGGATGCTGATGCTGTGACTGGAGAAGGAGAAGGAGAAGGAGGACGACTGCATGCAGAGGATGAGGTGAGCCTGGCTGGCTGTAGATCTCCTTGTGTGGTGCTTGGGGCTCCTCAAGAGACGGTGGCGGCTGTGGATGCTGATGCTGTGACTGGAGAAGGAGAAGGAGAAGGAGGACGACTGCATGCAGAGGATGAGGTGAGCCTGGCTGGCTGTAGATCTCCTTGTGTGGTGCTTGGGGCTCCTCAAGAGACGGTGGCGGCTGTGGATGCTGATGCTGTGACTGGAGAAGGAGAAGGAGAAGGAGGACGACTGCATGCAGAGGATGAGGTGAGCCTGGCTGGCTGTAGATCTCCTTGTGTGGTGCTTGGGGCTCCTCAAGAGACGGTGGCGGCTGTGGATGCTGATGCTGTGACTGGAGAAGGAGAAGGAGAAGGAGGACGACTGCATGCAGAGGATGAGGTGAGCCTGGCTGGCTGTAGATCTCCTTGTGTGGTGCTTGGGGCTCCTCAAGAGACGGTGGCGGCTGTGGATGCTGATGCTGTGACTGGAGAAGGAGAAGGAGAAGGAGGACGACTGCATGCAGAGGATGAGGTGAGCCTGGCTGGCTGTAGATCTCCTTGTGTGGTGCTTGGGGCTCCTCAAGAGACGGTGGCGGCTGTGGATGCTGATGCTGTGACTGGAGAAGGAGAAGGAGAAGGAGGACGACTGCATGCAGAGGATGAGGTGAGCCTGGCTGGCTGTAGATCTCCTTGTGTGGTGCTTGGGGCTCCTCAAGAGACGGTGGCGGCTGTGGATGCTGATGCTGTGACTGGAGAAGGAGAAGGAGAAGGAGGACGACTGCATGCAGAGGATGAGGTGAGCCTGGCTGGCTGTAGATCTCCTTGTGTGGTGCTTGGGGCTCCTCAAGAGACGGTGGCGGCTGTGGATGCTGATGCTGTGACTGGAGAAGGAGAAGGAGAAGGAGGACGACTGCATGCAGAGGATGAGGTGAGCCTGGCTGGCTGTAGATCTCCTTGTGTGGTGCTTGGGGCTCCTCAAGAGACGGTGGCGGCTGTGGATGCTGATGCTGTGACTGGAGAAGGAGAAGGAGAAGGAGGACGACTGCATGCAGAGGATGAGGTGAGCCTGGCTGGCTGTAGATCTCCTTGTGTGGTGCTTGGGGCTCCTCAAGAGACGGTGGCGGCTGTGGATGCTGATGCTGTGACTGGAGAAGGAGAAGGAGAAGGAGGACGACTGCATGCAGAGGATGAGGTGAGCCTGGCTGGCTGTAGATCTCCT